GTATTAAATGTTAGAAAAAATTAATTTTTCCATTATTCTGTATTTTCTGTTATAAATGGCTGCATAATCCATGAAAATAAAATGAAAATGTTTTTAACAAATCACCTATCTTTTATGAAAGTAAATAGATTTAACATTTAAGGGAGTAGAGCCAGTAACCCGAATAAACGGCCCTATAAAGGTGCATTTTTTAGCTCTTCTGGTCCAAAGGGCCAAGTGAGCTTTTCTCATCACTTGGGGTCCGTCGTCTTCGTCGTTAACTTTTACAAAAATCTCCTCTGAAACTACTGGGCCAACTTTAACCAAACTTGGCCACAATCATCATTAGGGTATCTTGTTTAAAATGTGTCCAATGATCACGCCTGCCAACAAACATGGCCGACATGGCTCAAAATAGAGCATAGGGATAAAATGCAAGTTTCGTCTATTATTTTGAAAACAGCTATTAATAGGGAAAAATCTGACAGGGACAAAAATGTTCAAAATGATGAGATCTACCTATTGTCTATTTATATTTAAACTGTCAGACGAGTTATTGCCCTTTATTGACGAATTTTACCAATTATTTTAATTTTTGCTTATTATATTGTAAAATGTAATAGATAGAGAGAGAATTTACATATCAGAAATGATCAGCAAGACAAGATCTACAAATAAGTCACATGGTTGAAATCGTCAGACGACATTTTATTGGGATAATTGCCCTTAAATGATGATTTTTATCCATTTTTCGAGTTTTTGCCTTATATCTGAAAAAACTTTAACAGATAGATCGAAACTTAAGTAGGCAAATTAAAATGATCAGCAAGTCAAGATCTACAAATATGTCTACTGGCCGAAATCTTTACTTCACTCCTTATTTGAATTATTGCTCTATAATGACGATTTTATGAACTTTTTTTATTTTGCCAAATATCTAAATAAATATAATAGATAGATGAAAACTTAAATGAGCAAAAATTATCAATAGCACCAGATCTACAAATAAGTCAACATGGTCAGACGGCTCGTTATTGGGATTATTGCTCTTAAATATTGATTTTTTATCATTTTATTGCGTTTTTGTCTAATGTTTGAAAAACTATATTAGATATTTAGAAACTTAAATAAGCAAAAATGACAAGATCTACAAATACGTCAAATTTGGCGAAATCTTTCATAGACACTATGATGGAGTAATTGCCCTTAAATGACAATATGCATACCCTTTCTTAATATGTGGTTTGAGCAGAAACAATAGAAGATAGAGAGAACTGTAAACAGAAAAAATTATCAGCAAAATAAGATCAAGAGAACAGAGATTTTTGTTATGAATTCTATTTTAGTCCACAATGTTGGAGAGTGTCCATTGTGGAAGATGCACACAGACCTAGATGAACGTCACAGGCTCTTTATGTCCTCTAGTTTTAACTTTGATTGTTTTAGTAAATGTATTGTGTATAGAATTGAGAATGGAAACACGGAATGTGTCAAAAAGAAAAATAGCAAAAAACCGAACTCCAAGGAAAATTCAAAACAGAAAGTTCTTTATCAAATGGCAACATCAAATGCTCAAACACATCAAATGAATGGAAAACAACTGTCATATTCCTAACTTGGTATATGCATTTCCTTATGTAGAAAATGGTGGATTAAACCTGGTTTTATAGATGGCTAAACCTTTCACTTGTATGCTAGTGGCAAAGAATACCATTATATTGACAACGATGTGTAAGCAAAACAAACAGACATAATAGATAAAATTGTCAAAAATTTGGGTACAGCAGTCAACATTGTGTTATAATCTTATTCACAATAAAAACAAATAACTATTTCGAAAAAGAAAAACAAAATGGCATATAGACACTCTATAGACAAAGTTCATAAGCAAAAATAAAAGACAAGAATACAAAAAATGACCATAACACAATAACACAATGGCGGGATGTATAAGTACCTAGTCACGCTAAAAGTATATTTATTTACCAAAAATAGACTAAACAGTAAAGGTTAAAAATATTCAGAGACAAGTAAAAAGAACATTATAACACGTAATTAAGATAATAAACAACGTCAGTACCTAGCATCTATACTTCAAGACCATCATGTATTTGTGAAGTTGATACGGAATATTTATCAACAAGGTCTTGGTATCTTCCGGTGCACTTTTTAAGAAAAAGGACGACACGTTCTTTGACATAACCCTGTTAACATCTGTTCAGAAAATGATGACGATTTATAAAGTCTTAGTAGCAGCTGCATGATCTTGAATACCGAATGAGTTGGGAATTGTATATTCCATATATATATTTTACATGAGTTTCACGTATACGTTCATTTACTGGTGAATGACACATGAAATTTTTGACGTGAATTTCACGTGAGATTCATGTGAAATTCATGTGAGCAAAAGTTACCTGTGTATTGATGCTCATCTGGAGGCATGACTATCATTAAAAGTTTGTTTACTTGTGTGTAGCTTCCTATTTCAGAAGGATATCTAATGATATTTTAAATTTGTAAGAATAACAAAAAATTATTGGTGTGTTATTGTTGACCACGGTCGGTATATCTATAAAAATTGCATGCAACAGAATAACTTTTTACACAATTATAACATTATGCATGATTAGTTTGATATTATTATCTTTAATTGTTTTAGTATTAATTTGCTAGATAATGGTGAACACTATTTGTATCATAACTTTAAAATTGTTATAACTATACATAACCCTGGTTCATCAACTTTCTGCTCAGAAACTGATGAGGTTTTATAAAGTCTTAGTAGCAGCTGCATGATCTTGAATACCGAATGAGTTGGGAACTGTATATCCCATATGCAGGTGAAGTTCGTATATTGCTGCTAAGTCGGGGGAATTTATAATTTCAAAATTCGAATCGTCTCGTTTGTCATAGATTCTGGTACTAAGATGACCGTTTATGTCAATCCGATGTATAAGTCTAAAAATGAGGCAGAGAAGCCGTGTTTGTTGTTTCTTTAATTTCTAGTTCATGAGGATATATTAATAGAACCCAATCAGAAAAGTTTGAATTGTTAATGGAAAGAAAATCATCAATATATCTAAATGTGAAATTAATTAATCTGGCTTCATTGCTCTTCTTGTTTTTGACAAGTGTGTGAAGGAACTCCGTCTCATGTGAAAATAAGAAGAGGTCGGCAAGGAGAGGCGCACAGTTCGTACCTAAAGAAATGCGGACAATTTGTTGAAAAATTCTACCTCCAAATTCAAAAAGAAACTCCAGCATACTGATCACTGGTTCCTCTGTGTAGCATGTTTTACCTTTTTGTTAACTATTAACAAAATATAAATGAACCAAAATTAAAAAAAAAAAAAAAACCACACAGGACTAACAAAGGCTAAAGGTTCCTGACTTGGGACCGCGCAAAAATTCGGCGGGATTAAATATGTTTTTTGAGATATCAACCAAACCCTCTAGCCAATGAGGAATAAACAAACAAACAGCAACACGCACATAAAAAAATCAGTTTTAAAAGAAGTCTGAGTCTGTTGTTGAAATAGGTTCATTATAATTTGCTTAATACAACATTTTTGAATGTATAATGAGATAACTGGGATATCTGCTTCAAATTTATAAATACATAAGCCTGAAATAGCAATAGATTTCATTTTCGTCCATTTTCTAGATATTAATCACCTTATTGTATTTTTTTCGTGGTTTTATATGTGGTGCCACCCCTTACCCATTGAACTATTGGTTGAAAAGTAAAGAGTATAATATTAAAAAAATCATAAATTTTGAAAATTTTACAAAAATTCAGGTTTTAACAAAATTCACCTACATTTATGTTGTCACAAACATCACAAATGACGTAATTGGTGAAAATCTGTTTAAGCTGAAAAATTTTATCATATGTTTTCATCAAATTCTACGGACACTTGTTAAATTATATCAGACTTTTAGGGCCAAAATTATGAAAAAGTAAACCAACTGCTATGCAAATTGCAGTCGTTTTGAAAGATAGTGAATTTGAAAGTGTTTGTTTATGTTTCTAAATAGTGAAGCATTAAGAGTTGGCAGTCAATTTCAAAAATGAAATTAATTCAGATTTTTTATAATTTTTTTTTTATTTGTGTTAGTTAGGGAGATTGGACAGTATTGTGTTTGGGTCAAGTTCTCTAAATATAATTAGTACAAGTACTGTTTGCAATATAACAAAATTCAAAAAAAGTAGTTCAAGGATTCTAGCTTGTGAAAAATAGCGACATATTTGAGTATTGCATTTTAAACTGGGTAAGTATTTCTAAAAAAAATAAAAGTACTAGTACATAACTTGGAAGAGATGATGTTAAGGTTGCCATATTTCTTTATAGATTTTGCTAAAGCTTTATAATTAATTGATTATTTTTGACAAGAATGATCAAGGCTGAATGTAACTGTGATGTGCATAGCAATCAAAGCTTCATGTCTATTGCTTTTGATTTGATCAAGTACACATGTAGGGATTTATGTCATGAATAAGTTTTAACATAACCTATCCAAGAATTCGAAACTTGAAAATTATTCAATGAATGACCGTTTTGTGAACGTTAAGAACCCTTGCAACAACTCTTCGAGTGGTTCATAGGTGGCCTGCTGCAAGGCCAAATTTCTGTCCCTATCCAATGTATCCTCATTTTTCATTGGCAGTCCAAATTTTCCTGACCTTCATCCCGGACGACTACTATTATCTGTCAGACCCTAACTTATGGTTCCTCGATACTTTGAATAACAATTATGGGTATAAACAATAAACATATATTTTGTTTGAGAAATGTATTCAAAATTGCTCTTATCAACAGCATGCAGAAATATTTATCCTTAAACCATGAAAAAACATTAAAGAAAATAGATTTTAGCTCTTATTTCTTTGAATCTGTGTTCAAAATTATCTCTGTGTGTGTGTGTATGAATTGCAACATAAGGTTAGTTTGATTTATGTTAATGTTTACTGTAGTCTAACTCATTTTTTTTTATTAAAATGCAATATCAATTCACAGATTAATACAACTACAGAGTGCACCCTATGAGGCTGAACAAGCTACAGAGGAAACAAAATGTATCTTAAAAAAATGTAGAGAAGAACAAAATATTGTAAAAACCGCTTTATCAGAATATGAACTTGAAAATGACAAACTTCAGTGTGAGAAAGAACAGTTAAACCAATGTTTAGAAATGCAAAGGCATCATGCTGGAGAACAAATTAATAAATTAAAAAAGAAAGTTAAAAAGAAAGAAAAAGACCTTCAGCAGAGTAACCAGATTAATGATGAACTAAACAAAATATTGGAAGAGATTGAAAGTAAAAGAACAGAATTTCCTGTCAGGTAGATAACTTTGCAAAAAAGAAAATAACGATTTACAGTACATTAAAAGAGTGTGATCAAATTAGCATTAGATACTCTTAGCTGCTTTTGAAGATTAAGTAAAGTAAAAAATATATATTTGTCTTCAGCTATGTGGTGATAAGATAGGGGTTTATACTAAAATAGGCTTAAGTTTAGATAATGCAGAGCACATTTCATGTATGTTTCTAATAATATTTTTATAACAAATAATAAAAATGCTAGCTATATAGTATTTAATTTTGTTGTTTCTCTAACTTTGTTTCTTATTGACTTATATTGCATATTATATCACATGTTTCTAATTAGTTTGAATAAATAAGACTATCTTCAACTGCCTAATTGTTCCCTAAATATGAACAAGTTTTTCTCTCACTTTCGATAAAAGACGCAGAATGCAAGACTTACACAAAGAAATTTCACTCACATGAATTTCACGTGAATCTTACTTGAAATTCACAGACATTTTACATCAAACGAGCTTATACGTGAAACTTACCATGTTACGTGAAATCAGTTCACTTGAAAAAAATCACATGATTTTTTTGTCACGTGAATTTAAAAAAAAAAATGATTGAAATTTTTTTTTTGTAAAGTTCACGTGAAATGCACGTGAAAAATGTCATGTGAGAATCTTGAGAATCTCAATTCACATGAACATTTTCACGTGAGTTTCACGTATACGCTCATTTGAGGTGAATGACACATGAAATTTTTGACGTGAATTTCACGTGAGATTCATGTGAAATTCATGCGAGCAAAAGTTACCTGTGTATTGATGCTCATCTGGAGGCATGGATATCATTAAAAGTGTGTATACTTGTGTGTAGCTTCCTATTTCAGAAGGATATCTAATGCTATGTTAAATTTGTATATCTATAAAAATTGCTTGCAACAGAATAAATTTGTACACAATACTAACATTATGCATGATTAGTTTAATATTATTATCTTTATTTGTTTTAGTATTAATTTACTAGATAATGGTGAACACTATTTTTATCATAACTTTAAAATTGTTATAGCTATACAATGCTATATTATAGAGAACGAAATGACGTACTTCAACAGAAGGAAAAAAATAAAATATTGACTAGAGAAAACGAATCATTAAGGACTGCAATATATGAATATGAAAACAAGTAAGAATGCTTAATTATTTTATTTGAGAACATATTTTTAGTTGAAAAAAATATTAAGATTTCGAGTGGGGAATAAAAACCAAAAGAAACATGACAGATAAGATTCTACAAAGTACAAAGCAGAACACCTAAGCAACACTAACCTCAAAAACATCTTGGGGAAACTCAGTTACTCCAATAAGATAAGCAGTGTTTTTGCTCCACTAGTGGCACATTTTGTTTTGATAATATCATTCAAAAATATGATGATAAGTTACATTTGATTATAGTCCAAAGCCTGGAAAGGTGAATAAAGCAAGGTGCCTACCACCATTAAAACAAATGTATATCAATTAACCAAATAATGATAGCAAAATGTATCATCTGTCTCCTGTGATTCCATGTGGTCTAATTCCAGCCTTTCTCTTTCCCTTTCTGTCCTCGGCTACGTCCTTGCTATTCAGCCTTATTTTGTGTCCTGGTCTCCTTCCCTTCCCTTGAGGTCTTCCTCTTTTTCCCTGATGCTCTGGATGGCGATCCTCTATTGTTTCTTTTTTTTGGCATTTTTTGGTTCTCCTGAAATATCCCTGCAGTTGGTTCATTGACAGCAGTTTAACCAGTGCCGATTCAGGAAATTGAATATCAAAATACCACGTGCTAGCGCTACCTTTTGGCAAAACCATGTATGGTTGTGAACCAAACACCTATGCAAACATTTGATGGAATTAAACTAGATTATCGAAAGTATAAAAGTTTGCTAATCTCTATTTTTATGGTTTTAACGAAAATAATATGTAACAAAAGACTCTGACCGTATAAAGTCTTGTTAATGACATTGAAAATATGTTTCCCATATGGTTTTATCTATGAGGTATTAAGAGAATGCAAGTTCAAAGAATTTTTGTGTCATCAACTTCAAATTCATAATTGTTTTTTTTAACCATAATGTTTTATCTAGAACAGTTTAATGAGTTCCAACAAAGATTTTATTTGTATTCGTCTCGAAATAGGATATATAAACTTATAAATCTCAGTAACATTCTACTTGTTTTTAAGCCTTGTACAAATCATCTGATTAGTTACAGCAAATGTTAAAAATATAAATGAAGTGGTTGTTTATTTGGTGTTCATTTTGAATAAATATTTAGACATAGCACTAAATAAACAAGTCTGCAATAAGACAAACACAGTTAGTCTCCATTGTAATACGAAGTACCGTTATAAGTTAATGGGCCATACAAAAACATTTCTATTTTAACAATATGAATATGTTAGGTGGTATCTGGATTTATTTTCTAAATCACTTAAGTATGTGTTGTGGAAGAACAATCATGAACAAATATGATTTTGAAGATTGACCTGTCTTTTTTTAGGCTTTTATACTCTCCGTATTGAGACAAGTTGATTTCTACTGAGAAAAACTTGAAATGGTGACCCCTGAAATATTAAGAATCATTATCATTAAAACGGGACTTTTTACAGCAATAATATGCATTTAAAAACAAAATTTTGTGAAAGATTTTCAAGCAAATGCAATTAAAGTGAAAAATGCATTTTTGCTGCCTTTTACGTACAGTCAGTCTATAAATTTATATGAAAAAAGAAATTGTAATAATATACATCTATTTGAAGACAAGCTGAAAACAAGAAAGAACATATCGAAATTGAGCAAAAGTTTAAAGTTGAAATCAACAATCTTCAGATTAAATACAAAAGAGCATCTGAAAAAGTCAGAAAATTTGAAAAAGATTTAGAAGAGAGAAAATCAAAATCTGAGGAGCAACAAGCTATATTCGATTCAAAACAATGTCAGTTTGAGAAGACAATAAAGGCATTAAGGTCACAGACTGATGAAAAACTAAAGTCAACAGAACTAAGATGGTAACTATTGTATTGTGAAATACCAGCTAGGGTGGGGTGGGAGAGGGTCTCTTCCTACATGATGCTATACAGCAACATGCCGCTGGGTAGTCCATACATCACACTTTGATTTAAAGGTGATTAATAGAAAACTGCGTCATGAAATTGATTGAAATTTTCATTACGTATTTTTGATCATTTAACCTAGGTTAAGTTTGAATTCAGTCAATTAAGTTCCACACAGGTAGGACAATTTAACAATTAAAGCAAAATGATTGAAATCAAACTTTCCAGTAAACTTAAGCTTTATTTACTGGTTCTAAACATACCATGAAACTTTGATTCAATTTTATCAACCAAAGGGCCAAGTTGCTATCACTTGGCGTCTGTCTTCTGTGTGTTCAGTTGTTGTTGTAATCTCTAACAAAAATCTGCTCCTCTGAAACCACTGGACCAATTTCATCAAAATTTTAGCTGAATAATACTGAAAAGACCTACATTTTTTCTACATTTTTTTATCTGAAAACCACATAATTTTGAATAAGCAAACAACCAACGACCATAATTCAGGTTTGTATAATGATAGAATGGTGAAAAGAGGATTTAACCTGTGTTTAGTGATTCAAAATACTCTATTAAGATTTCAATCCTTTTCATGGTGCGGTTCTCTATTTTTGATGCAAAATCCTAAAGCTCTACAATTTTCTCAACATTCCAGGAATGGTAACCGTATATGCAAAAACATAGCATTTTGTGTATGATAAGAAAATCTCCTAAGTGATATTGTTAATGAATTTATGGCACACAATTCCTATAACAGGAGAAAAGACTTAAGAACTTTCAATAGTACAAATTAATTCAGCATTCTAATCCAGTAGTAATCCTTATCTGAAGGTGGAGGTACATTTGATCATTACAGGTAAATCTCCTAATCCTGTAATTAATTTGCTATAAGAATACGCTATTAGATATGAGTAGTGTCGATGGAATTCAGCATACAATTTCTTTGTCATAGGTCAAGATCAGATAATCCTTCTAGAGCACATATTTATGAAATGAAAGAAGAAGGGTTCGTATATATGAATGGTTAGAAAAGAGACACATCCTCTTTACAAGATGTTTATCTATGAAGTTCAAATCCATTAACTTGATGAATTGCACTTGGTCAGGAAGGATTTAACAGTCATGATGCTTTAATGAAGTGAAGATCGGAAATTATCATGATTTCAGACTGTTTTTGGTTTGCTGGCTAAATATTTTGGGCACAACATCTGACATATCAAGACGATAATATCTAAAGGAGATAAATTAAAAGCAAGAACACACATGATTGGACGAACATGCTAAGATAAAACTGAAGCGTTTAGCATTTTATACTCAACAAACAGAGAAACTAAAATTTAATGTTTTATTTGTTTTCCATAAAAGCAAGTTGGCAGTTGGTTAAACTAAATTACCAAAACATCTAAGCCAAACCAATATTAGACTTCCTTCAATTAAGTCTCATTATCAAATCGAAATGCTAAAATAGCTATGCTTCCGAAAAGCACACTTAGATGGCTAAGTACAAAAGTGAAGTGTTTGAAATTTGGTAAGCAAGTTGTCACATTACACATCTAGGTACACCGAAACACAATCTGTTGAAGCAGCTCAAAGAACACGTGATTATCATATAAATGTGAAACCTATTCAGTAAAATATCTTGGGTAAGGACTGATTCTTTAAGTGACAATCCTCTTATAGTTGCATTTACAACGTTCCATCATGACTACATAAGCATGGTAAAATATTACATTGTGTTTTCACAAATAAACACTTAGCTCTTGGTCTTTGGTCCATAAGTTTTATTATCGCTGTTAGGGTTGAGATCTGTTTAAGTATGGGAAACAAGTGGAGAAATATATCTATAATCATATGCGACAGATTAACTTTAATACTATCAAACAAATCTAGATTGCATTTAATGGACACAATCATTTTTCTTGCAAACAATATTGAATAAATTTTTCTGAAGAGCTGAAAAATATCCGCAAATTTCAATATACATTCGTACAATTGGTTGTCAAAGGAACTCCCATCTTCTTTTGGAAAACCTATACAACAAATTAGATTTGAATATGATTATCTCAAAATTCTTTCCACTATCCGCCTTCGAGTGATTTGATTAATATACATTATTTTTGTCCGTTTTTTTGTTTACAATTATGTCTTAAAGTGACATTCTTTTATGTAAGCATTAAGTTTCAAATGTTTTAATATACTAGAATGAAAAAAAAGCCTTAAGGTTTAAAACATTTCCATTTCAATGAATGCTTTTAAGTTATTAAGATTCCACATTTACACAACAAGGTGAGTAGGGCTTGTCACAAATTTTAAGAAGTTTACTTCAGCCACTTTCAGGATAGGTGATATAAAAATGTTCAGAAAAACCTTTGTGAAATGTTTAACAGATTATTGGTAAAAATTATTGGAGTTTCTGGTATAAAATAAATGTATGTCAATAAAAAAAAATGATATGTAGTATATTTGCTTACTATTGAGATAACTATCCATTAAGACCTGATGTGACAAATTCCCGTTCACCCTTCAACAATGAGCAAAAATCCATTCTGTATAATAATATATAAAGGGTCACAGTTTGATTAATCATTTTAGTAAATACGTCAAAAAGATAAAATAAACTTCTGTTATTCAGTAATTTCTCCAAAATTTCTGTGCTTATTTTAGAGTGTTGCCTTTTCATTATACCAATGGGTCAATTTCTACTAAAATTTACTTTCAAACTGATCTTATTTGATGTGTTATCTTCAGCCTATTGCAGAATAAGGTTCCTGCTAGTAGAACGCATGTAGATTTTTATAATAATATTCTTACTATCTAATTCCAATTTGACTTTTCTCTCTCTTTCATAAAAAATCAAACACCTAAAAATAATCACATTTAGTAAAAAGAAAGTTTGTTTCTATGTGAAATATTCTATGAAAATCATATTTGGTAATTGATGTGTTCTAAACATTGTTTCATTGAACCCTATATTATTGTTCTAACATGCAAGTGTATTTTCATTTGTTTTTTTCTAATATTTTTTCTTCCGTTATTATAAAGTAAACTATAAAAGGGAGATCAATTAATGATACAGAAAAATCAATGATATGAAAAAAGATTATCTACCTCTAATATGAATTTCACTCGTCTATCAATTGATTTTTTAATTTACATTTTATAACACCACGAACGCACACCAACAGTTACACACTGGTCAAATAATTTGCCGAAACAAAGAAATTGTTAAATATCATAATAATAGAACTTTTCACAGAGAATTTCAAACTTTTTTTAAACATGCCTGCATAGCAAATCAGGCTCCAGGAAGCGTTATGTTTATTGATCTTATTTTAAAGAAATGTCTGTAAACTAATAAATGAGAATCAACTGTTCTACATTTAATTGATCTATTTCAGTTACACTTCAGTTGGAGGTAAATCAGATACTGAGAAAGACAATATTAGCTTAAAATCTGAACTCACAGTGGCATTGGACAGAATAGAAAAAATAAAACAAGAATATAGTGATCTTTCAGAAAAGTAAGGATTTATAATCATAAGGAATGTACATTAAATCTAAATTTTCTGTTATTTAATGGCTGTATAATCCATAAAATAAATGAAAATATTTTTAATAAAAACTTTTATTAAAGTAAATAGATTTAACATTTAAATTTGCCAGTCGTGATCGCTTTGAAAGATATTGAATTTGACAGTGAATTTTGATGTTTTTAATTAGTGGATGTCAATTTCAAAAATGAAATTGATTCAGATTTTTTAGAATTTGTAAGTGAGGTAGTTGGACATTATTATTTTTATTTTGGGTCATGTTCCATATATTGTACAAGTACAGTTTGAAATATAATGAAACTTGTAAAAACAAAAAACGAGTACAAGAATTATAGCTTTGGAATAATTAAAAAGTTTTTGTTTAATAAATTTTAAAAGTATTGCATTTTAAACTGGGCAATTATTTCTAAAAAAAATTCAAAGTACTAGTACATAACTTGGAAGAGATTATGTTAAAGTTGACATATTTCTTTATAGATTTGCTGAAGCTTTAGTATTAATTGATTATTTTTTACAAGACTGGTGAAGGCTAAACGTGACTTTGATGTGCATAACAATAAAAGCTTCATGTTTATTGCTTTGGATTTTATCGAGTCTACGTGTAGGTGTCTTGAATTAGTTATAGAATAACTTAGAATTCAAAACTTGAAAACTATTCAATGAATGACGAAAACAAAACTTGTATTTCTGAATGCTACTAGCACATGTGTGAATTATAACTCTTATTTGGTCACAAGGTGAATATTTTTTGATATTGGAATTCTTGGATAAGTTATTCTATATATTGCATTGACTTTTGATGTAAGTACAGAAGAAAATGCAAGAAACTATATCTTAAAATTGTTCTGCACATTCTCATATTGTACTAATTCACTGTCGTTGTCAACGTCGTGACACCTATTGTATGACATCAGAGGAGTGAAATTATTTGTTTTTATTTGACTGTAAAATCAAAGCAGTATATTGCTACCAATATAATAATATACAACATTCATTCTTTTCCAACCAGCAAGGGTGACTGGGAAATAGAAATATGGTCACTAAGTGTTCTTACAACCGGAAGTAAAACCTTGCCAAAGTGAGGCATCTGTTTGGGTGTGCAGGATGTACAACCACGTAGCCAAGTCCAGTCAGAATTATGATCTTAAATCTGATGCCTTGTCTAGAGAGAGCGCCACACTCTTTTTGTACGTTCAAACCCTTGCAACAACTCTTTGACGGGTCTGTAGGTGGACTGTTGTAAGGCAAAATTTCTGTCCCTATCCAATGTATCCTCGTTATTCATTGGTAGTCCAAATTTTCCTGACCTTCATCCCGGACGACCTCTACTACAAGACCTACCTATTGTTTTTTTTTTTGTTAATTTGTTCTCGTCCTGAACATGCATTAAATATTTACCACTGGACTTTAAGCAACCAAGAATAAATCATTCATTCTTTTCCATTACATCTGTACTATGATATTAATGCATCATAAGATAACTTGACAACACATATAGATATAGGAACATAATATAAGACTAGTGTATTTGAAAATATCTTGACAAAACACAAATATACTGCAGATGTAAGAAACTTAACATTTTCATCATCAGATACGAAACAGGAAAGATTGCTTCTGAAAGGACAATTAAAAGTCTACAACAGGAAAAGACCTGCTTAGAGCAAGAAAAGGTTAATTTTAGAGCTAAATTGGATCATATCCAGAGTGATTTGAATCGTTTCAAAAATGAGCAAGTTCATCAACAGGATTCCTCACACGGGACAATAGATAATCTTCTTCGGCAAAACAGACAATTAGATAAAGACAGAGAACTGTTGAGAGGAAAAATCTTTTCACTGGAAAATGATAAGATTAAACTTGAAGATATGTAAGTTTGAACTTTTTTCGTCTGTTTTTAAATACTCTCAGGACCTACTATTGGTAACATTTTTATTTTGCAATCTCTTTTGAAATTTTGTTGAATGACTGATACCAGTATATGAGAGTATTGTTAGATTCCGTAACAATTAAACGTTTTGGACATACCTTTTTTGAATAAATAGGATGACCAGTGTTGTAAAGGTTGGTAATCAGAATACTCAATACTACGGGTACAATTATTGCGCCATGATAAAAACTAATGACATGAAAAATGCTATTCAGATACAAAGAGGTCTTTCATAATTGACCTTTTGAATTAAAAAATGTAAGTTTTCATAATACAATATAAGCTGTAACCTATTTCATGGGTAGCTGGTACAATAAAGTTAACTTGAAATTTCAGTCATAATATCTATTTTAAACTAAAAATGTGATTTAACATATATTTTTTTCTACATTTTTCTACATTTGTACAAAATACCAGTGCATACCATTTTTAATTAATCCTTGATTTTTTGTATTCATGCAATACAATTTTACAAGTAAAACAAAATCCATGGAAAAACATTGTTATTAGATAACAATATTTATACTGCATCAACTTTTATTTTAATGAAAGTGGATAGTGTAATATTTCAGGTTGAATAAAAGTAAGGAAGATGATAAGAAATTAAAAAGAGATCACGATAAATTGCAAGACAATTTACGAGAAAAATCAAATGAGCTTAAAGATTCAGAAGTTAGGTATGTACGAATTTAACAGTACTAACACTAGAGGAAAATTCTATTAGGGCATTTAAGCTAGTTGTCTTACTGATTATAATAATCTATCTTTTTACAGTAGTTTTGAGAAAGAATATATTTCATTTTTATTAGAAACACACCAAGACCTTTACTTCTGAAATTAAAGTTTTGATTTAAGATTTTATTTAATGTTTTTTTAACCTAGTTTGATATATTCCTATTTATCTGTTGTCTATATAAAAAAAGAAGATGTGGTATAATTGCTAATGACAAAACTCTACCCTAGAGACCAAATGACATACCAACTATAGGTCACTGTACGGCCTTCAACAATAAGCAAAACCCATACCGCATAGTCAGCTATAAAAGGCTCCAAATGACAAATGTAAAACAATTCAAACGAGAAAACTAACGGCCTCATTTATGTAACAAACAATGAACGAAATACAAACATGATATACAGCGACAAACGACAACCACTGAATTATAACAGGCTACTGACTTGGGACAGGCACATACAGAGTGTGGAGGGGTTAAAAATGTTAGCGGGCGCCCATTTCTCCTCCTTACCTGGGACAGTGGTGTAACAGTACAACATATGAACAAACTATAAAAATCAGTTTAAAAGGGCCTAACTCATCAGACCGATACAAAGCAGAAAAACAAGGCACAAAAACACAGACTGGACGTGGTATGGTATTTATACATCCCCACAACAAAAAAGACAATAAGTACAGATCTGAGAATACTCTTAGTTACTGACAGCTATTTCAAAGCCAATAACAACTAATAAATATCATGTATATCTAAGACTATAGTATCAAACAGCAAACATCCAACATCTAATGGATTTAGTGTAAAGACGTCATTAACAGTCAGAGAAATACATGACTTTGTGCAATGCCAAAACACAGGTATCGACAGATTGTAGAACCGTGAATGTACATATGTATTTGTATATAACAATAGTATTGGTTTTGTTTTAATTTACTGATAACAAAATCAATATCTATACCAATAAAAACAATATTTAAAGATCTAATTACAGTGTGTGTCTGTTTACCTTGACTTGAACTTTAATTTTGAGATAATGATTCTCTTAAATAGTTTTAATTAAAAATTGCTGTCATTATTACTCGAAAATCATCAAACAAACACAAACAAGCCGAAAACTTATTTCTTATAGAAATCCAATAAATATTGAACAGGGTTTTAGAATATAGTTTCATGTTATAACATGTGTTGAGTGAATATACTACATATGAGTTCCTTTGTAGTAGATCTGTTTTTTATCTAATTGTTGCCCTTGGTTTTATTAATTTATAAACAGCAAGAGATTTTTTGCCAGTAAAGTGATACATCTCAACTATTTTCAACCATCTTTTCAGATGTTGTTCTGATACACGTATTTGGCATATAATTTTGTAATTCACTGAGAAAAAAGAAAAGAGCCACCTAAATGAGCTGATGTCTTTGTCGTCTCCCGCGCAACGCTTTGCGGTTGACATAGAAATAACGGGCGTCCGTGCATCCGTCCGTCCAGTCTTGTTAGCACTTTCACGTGTACAATTCTTGCCAGATTTTTATGAAACTTATATCATAGGTTTATATCAGCAATGTCTTGGACAAGTTTGAAAATCAGTGCTGATCAATTATTTTTAAAAGACTTATACTTTGACCTATAATTGGTTACTTTTTACACATTGTGACTTGGATGGAGAGTTGTCTCATTGGCACTCATACCAAATCTTCTTATTTTTATTTATACCCCTTGGAAATATTAATTATATGGAAATTTGCGTCGTTAGCGCTCTCATGTGTTCAATTCTTGTCAGATCTTTATGAAACTTATTTTATAGTATTATATCACCAATGTCTTGGACGAGTTCGTAAATCAGTGCCGATCAATTTTTTTTAAAAGAGTTATGCCCCTTGGAAATATTAATTATATGGAAAATTGCCTTTTGAGCACTCTCATGTGCACACAATTCTTGCCAGATTTTTATGAAATTTATATTATAGGTTTATATCACCAATGTCTTTGACGAGTTCAAAAATCAGTGCTGATTAATTATTTTTAAAAGACTTATACCCCTGGTAAATATTGATTATATTGAAAATTGCATTGTTAGCGCTCTTTTTTTTAGGTATTGCCCTTGCACCTTGGTTAGATAAAATATGTGCAACGCGAGGTACATTGGAACTCTGTTCTTTTATTTAGAATAGTTTCATGCAGGTTGATGAAGGAAACATTAACTGTCTGGTTTTTTTTATTATTACAGATTAAGAAAACTGGAAGCCAGTATCCTATTTCTTCAAAACACAAAAACTGAAAATGAGCAATTAAAAGAATCATTACATGAATTAGAAGGAGTAAAGAGGGAGTTTGATAACCTAGACAAAAGGTAAGTATTTGTCTTTGCTTTTGTTGCAACCGAACTTTTGCAGGGTAAACGTAGTAAGTAAATATTAATGAACAATATTACTGTTCTGTTTTTTTTTTCAGAATGTCTATGGATGTCTATGTATGTTTTTCAATGTAACTAAATGGGGCCAGGTATAATGTCACATATTTTGTCATCATACATGACTTATAACCCACCATGTCTACTACATGAGGTAATTAGCAATTGGGTGGTTGCTGGTCCATTGTTTATTATTGTTTAATGACCTCTAGATGTCTATTGTGGTTCATGTATGTTGTGATGTTAACCACACATCCCCTTTTATTCATTCCTTATTTTTGTTTACCCGTGATGATAGGCATTATATCTTATTTTATAGGTACAAAAATAAAACATCAGATAGAACGAGCTCTGATAATATTTTCACCAAATATAAGGATGATAATGATAAACTGAAGAAAGAAATTACTATTTTGTATAAGAAATAATGCATTGTTCCTTAAAACAGAGGTTGAAATTGAGTCCAAAACATGGATTATTGATTAATATGTATTAATAAATTATGTGAAATTGTACCAATGGAATTTCATTTTAGTGCACAGATGTGTCTTATTTTTTTAATTATTTATTAGGTTAACAGGAGAAAAGCCTAATCAGTATAGTACTTATGAAGCTATGCAAAATAAGAAAGATCTTGAAACATGCAAACATCAAAAGAAGGCACTGGAAGATGAGCGTAATGAACTTCAAGAAGAAAATATTGAACTGGACAATGAGTTACAGTAAGTATCAATAAATTAAGCTACTGTTGGGATGTTTTATTATTGCAAAAATTGCAACGTGATATAATCGCAAAAATAAAAACTTGCAATTTGAATATTAATAGCATAATTTGTAAGCAGAATTTCTTATCAATAATAGCAATATATAATCTCACATGTTTGTCCATCATGTCCATTATTGAATAATTGCGATAATAACATGAATAATGCGTGTAAACATTTCTGAACAGTAGATGTCAATAAAATAATAAAATAGCAAAATTACATACATTGTATGATGTAATAAACTACTAAACAAATGATCTCAAATGTTAATCCATTTCAATATGAGTAAACAAATGCATTGCTATTCAGATACTTTAATTTTATTATGAGAAGTACCTGGTAACATTGAAAAAAGAAAAGTATGATTTTCACTGAAGAAAGCTACTCCCCAACAAACCACCATTTGTTCTGTGTTAGGTACTATTTATTCGATCCCCATGAAACAGGTATTCAAATTCTTATTATTTTTCTTGAAAATTTGAATGTGTTTATAACACTACCCCTCACCCTATAAATGGTAATGGTGACAAAATGTTAATATTGATCATGTTAGTAGCATCAAATTATAATGAAAAGTGTAATGGCAGTTGTGAAATTTATTTCTGTATGAAGAAGCCTAAATTCAAAACTGAAACAGTTTGATGACTCTGCAAGGAACATTTCTAATTTGAAGAAACAAATTAAAGATCTTGAAAAAGGGTAATGTTTACTATATTTGGAATTATCATAGTGAAAAGAAATGTGATTTAAAGATAAAGAAATTAAGTACCAGTCTGCCAAAACAAATTAAGACTTAAGATTGAATTAACATACACATGAAGAATGAACTGGTTCTGTTAAAAATCAAGACATACAACTTTATTCTAATAATACCAATGAAAGGACAAACTGCATAACCCAACAACACTAAAATCTAAAGACATCAAGTGGTAGAAAAAAGGTCGTCAACCATAGTTAAGTGTCTGTATAGTATGTTAGGGTCAAAATCACCTCAAGTCTAGATAGGTTTCAAAGATATTTATATTTAATGTAATGAACAGTATATAGTAAGAAGCATGTACAATTCCCATGTCGAGATGTACTTTATCTCTCAAAACCTAAAGCTATGTAACATTGACCAAGTCTTTGTGATATCTGTAATCACAATCCCGTCCACTTTTTCTCGAATGGAACTTTAACTCAATGGATAGCGACACTCATCCGAAAAACATTAAACATATGGAAATCGGTTTAAAATAGAACTAGTTTTTCCCAAATGGTCACGTAGTTTTACCTCATCAAGTAATGTGATAACCACATCAAAGAATGACAGAACCACATCAATTAATTGAACGAACACATCAGGTAGTGTGAAATCGTCAAATTTTGAAACACCATTATGTAATGTTAAAGCCATATAAAGAATTAGCAAATCATCATTACGAAATCAAAACCACATCATATAATTAAACAACTACATTACGTTTAGCCACATACACATCAAGAAAGGTCAAAACCATATTGCCTAATGACACAACCACATTAAATAATTGTGAAACCACATCGAGTATTGACAAAACCATATTAAGTAATGACAAAACTATATCAAGTCAATACGAAACCATATCATGTAATATCGAAATATCATTAAGTAATGACTATTCCATATTGAGTTATATTATAAAATCATTACGTAATATCAAAACCATATTATGTAAAGACAAAATATCATTAAGTAATAATAAAATAACATAACGTAATATCAGAGTACCACATAAGACAGCTGTGGCGTTCCATACTATCACCATGATCACAAATTAATCATGCAAATGTCAACATACAAATAGAAAAGAAAGGATATGGGGTATCCATCTATGACGCAAAATCTGTACATGCACAGCAAAAACCACTAAAAGAAACGGAACAGTGCTTTTATTGCTGTTCTTCATATCAAGGTCACAATGAAGCCTTCAACATGGAGCAAAAACTCTCACCTTACTGCATCTTAGAGTTCACTATAAAGTTCTTTTTACAAACTTATAGTTATCCTGACGAAGCAACCTTCATAAAGTTATACTGTTGAAGTCCCATGTGTTTTGTTTTTTATTCTCATCAAAATGATCCAGACAATATCGTATTGACATATTTTGAGAAATCGGGATCTGACGTAATCACAGAGGTGTGGGAAAAGCCACATTTTTAGCCTCAAGTTTCAACATAAATCTTGCACTGTATGAGCTTTCTTAACAAATACATGTACTGTTACATACTTAAGGTAAGCTGTTACATATTCAACTGTTTTACATAATGTTCTAATTTCATAGGTGTAGAATTGCCATTTCTAAATTGCACGAAGCTGAGAGACAGATGCGAAAGCAAAATGAAACAATTGAAGATCAGAAACAAGAAAAAAGAGAGATATATAAGGAAAAGAACGATTTAGAAAACAAGCTGAGGTAATTTTTATATGCCCGTTGTATAAAGGACGTATTATGGTGTACCATTGTATGTCAGTCTCTCTGTCTATTCAAATGCTGTACAAAAGCAAGAGAATGCTATTTTATTTAAACTTGTATCGAATATTTAATGTGTTCAAAGAAAGCTCTTTTTTGAATATTAATACTGAAAATTTTTCGTTTTATCTTTTCAGAGTTATGGGACTTAAACCATCAGATTTGAGTTCATTTTCACATATGCACTAGCTTTAGTATACTTGGATTAAATTGCACTGTTGATTGGATTGTAGAATAAAAGCTGGAATTTGTTTTAGCTCAACTGGCCTAAAAGGTCATGGGAGCTTTGGTCATCACTCGGGGTATGTGGTGGGTGTCCATTGTTGGTTTCCATTATCCTTTGTTGTAAACTTTTAAAATAATCTTCTCCTCTGAAACTATTGGGCCAATTGTTATCAAACTTCGCCGAAATGCGCCTTAGGGAATATAGTTTAAAATTGTGTCAAGGATTTTGATCCATCAACACTCATGGCCACTTTTGGTATCAATAAAATATAGGAGTACATTAAAGTTTTTTGTTTATATTTAAATATAGAAGCAGTTAGAGCAAATCTGAAACAAGTAAAATGATCATTAGGTCAATCTATCTGCTATGAAATTTTCAGAAAAATTGGGCAACCCAATTATTCGAATTATTGTCCCAGAAATGTCCTTTTTTCAGCAAATTTGAAAGAATAATGCCAACATGACAAAATCCATTCAATACCTGTACGAGACTTTGACTAATTTTCAAGTGTTTACCTCTTATTTCATTTTTTGATAGGAGCCTTGCGTTTTATTATTTTGCCAATTATATTAAAATATATAAAATAGATTGCTTTAAACTGTAAACAGATCATCAATACAAGATTAACAAAAAATGTCACCAAATAAAATTAGATTTTCAAATAACATGAATAAACAAACATAACTGATTGCAATGAATGTCAAAATAAATATTAAAATGACATATTTGTACCATATGAGGGATTTAGTCTTTTGGGCGCCTTTTGTTTGGATGCTTCAAACAGAGATGAAAATAGATTGTATTTTGTGATATAATTTAAATTGTTTTAGAAGTTCATCATGTGTTTTTATCTTTTTTTTATATATTTTTCCCTCTAGGTTAGCTTCAAACAATGAAGAACAGGCTTCTTTAGGCAAAGAATGTGAAAAACTTCTGCACGACAAACTAAAAGAACTAAACAAATTGAAATCAAGGTAATTGCATGCCTGTTGAACTTGAATTTAACATGAATTTTATCAGCTTTAAAAGAGAACCAGAAAATACCAAAAGGATATTCAAATTCAAAGGTTGAAGACAGACTGACAAAGCCATGGCAAAAAAAATCGAAATAAACACAACAGTCTAAAAAACACAAAATAGAAAACTATGGAATGAGCAACATAAATCCCCCCAAAAATACTAGGGTTGATCTCAGGTGCTCAAGAGGGGTTGGCAGATCTTGCGACATATGTGACATCTATCATGTTCCTCATGTTAGTACAAATTGGGGGCTAAATTTTTTTTCTGTGATGTCACATTTGAGGAAAACAGAACGGGATTGTGGTTACAATTTGAACATATCCATTGTCATCTGTGAAACTTATATACCATAATCGTCAACAACTTGCAATAGCATCTGCAAAAATTTTCAAGGAATGACTTTAACTTTACCGTTGGGGACTCCTTGTAAGCAGAAACCCTCAATCAAGGAAATCACGATTGAAAACACAAGCTATCATCTATCGTATCAACTGGGAGATTTATATTCCATGTTTAATAGTGGGTTTAAATTACAAAGGACTTTACAAGTTTTTCAAATTTCTTTTGACTGTTGAAAATGTTTGTCCCTATTACATTGGAAGAGTTTTAGATATAAATAATAAGATGTGGTATGAGTGCCAATGAGACAACTATCCATCCAAGTCACAATGTGTAATAAGTAAACAATTATAGGTCAAAGTACGGCCTTTAACACGGAGCCTTGGCTCACACCGAACAGCAAGCTATAAAGGGCCAAAGACTAGTGTAAACAATTCAAAAAGAAAAACCAACGGTCTAATCTATATAAAAAACGAGAAACGAGAAACACTTATGAACCACACCAACAAAAGACAACCATTGAACAACAGGCTCCTGGCTTAGGACAGGTGCATAAAAATGCAGCGGGTTTAAACGTTTTAACAGGCGCCAACCTTCACCCTAACCTGAAACAGTGGTATTACATTGCAACATAAAAAGACACACAATAAAATATCAATTAAAATGGCTTAATTCGATCAAAAAGACAATACACAAAAACAAGTAAAGACTGTTTACAATAATTTCTGCAGGGGATAATTTTTGTGTTTAAATATTGAAAACTGATTTTAAAGTGATTAATTTTGTGATTTCTAGTATGTGTGAAAAAGTAATGTTTTTTATCGGTTAATTTTGATTTTAATTTTAATTTTTAATGTGAAGGATTTGGAATATTGCAAGAGTTGTATTAATATTCTTTTATATAGGAAAGCATTCATTTTCTTATCATTGTTACTTTTCCTAAAAGGTTTCATGAATTAGTAGATTCAAAGGAAACTTCAGAAGTTCTTATAAAAAAAGTTGAAAATCTGCAGCAGAAAAATTCAGAATTAAATCAGAGGTAATTATAACAACTTTTGATACATTTGATACATAAAATCTGTCACCAGGCTAATTTGGACTTCTACTTTTATTTTATCATTTTATATAGATATTGGATTCTTTTACAAAAATATGGTTTTACAAATTTAGCAATTTACATGTCAAGACAAATTATGTATTTTTATTTCAATTATTGACATTTGATGTTAAAATATTTGTAACAGATACATTTATTTGTGAAGATACTGATTTTAACATGAGATAATTTAATCCTTAATTCACTCTAATGATGAGAAATTAATGTACAAATCTTTAAGCTAGAACTCAATCTATTGTTTACACTTTTTATTGTTTTTATATGCCTTGGCCAAAACTATGTTGCTTAGATGTTTTTATTTTGGGCATGTATCACAGTTCACAAACTTTCTTGACAAATATATGACTTTTAACTTTGACCTAACGATCATATAAGAATTTGGTTTGAAATTAATCTTGTCCAGGTCCTAGAAATTGTTTTTTTTTTTTTTTTTTTTTTATTTTTGTTGTTTTTATCTTTTACACTTGAATATGTACATTTCATTCATTCATTTTTCTCTTTCAAAACATTCTTCATTGATGTTTTGTTTCATTAAAAAGGTCGCAGGAGTTAGAGGTCATAAGAAGACAAGTGCAGAAGCTGGATTTTAAAAACTCAGAATTAAATAAGAAGTAAATTATCAATGTTAACTTCTTTAATTTGATAATTATCTTGTTTTAGATAAATCTTTTTATGTATAAAGATAGGTCTATCAGCTGATTTTGATTGAGATTGGATTTCTGAAAAATCAAGAATCTAGAATTGGAAAATATTAAATGTCTTAGTATTAGCTTTAGAAGCATGAAGAACAGCTATGCTTTTGCAGTTTTTTTTGCCTGTTTTGTCATTTATTAAATAGATTAACACTTGCCCTTAAATGTTCAGTTAATCAACTTGTTGATAATGCCTTTGATTCTCAAAAAAAAAAATAGCATGAGGATAGGGACCTTTAAGATGATGTAAAGGAACCATGACAAAAACCATAATTTGAACATTATCATAAGTTCAAAGTAGAACATTTGTATAGTATGCAAATGATATTGTCTATATGTCTTTGGATATTTTTGTGGTTGGGGATCTATTTCATTGACCCAAATACTTTCATATGCAATTATCTGAAATAAGTTTTTTGTGAAACTGTATTTGTATAGCAAAATGGCTGATTGTACAATCAATTACATGTACTTGGTTAAGGAACATTTTATTCAAGAAGTCGAATATAGATCTCAAGAAGGGAAAAATAGATCTCAAGAAGACAAATATAGATCTCAAAAAGTCAAATTCAGATCTCAAAAAGAGAAATATAGATCTCAAGAAGAGACATATAGGTCTCAAAAAGTCAAATAAAGATCTCAAGAAGAGAAATATAGAACTCATCAAAGGAAATATAGAACTGAAGGAGTCAAAGAGTGATCTCAAGAAGTCAAATAGAGATCTCAAGAAGTTAAAAGAAATCTTAAGATGTCAAACAGAGATCTCAAGATGGGAAATAAATATCTCAAGAAGGGAAATATAGACCTCTAGAAGTCAAATAGAGATCTCAAGAAGAATCAGGAATTTGAAAGTATTTCCTGAAGATACAGCTTTCATTCAATTTGTATTTATATATCAAGAAACATTATTCTAATGTTAATTTGAAATATAAATTCTAGCCTTGAAATCAGCAACAAAGAAAAATAATCAATACACAAAGAAAATAAAGAACTGAAGAATATTCTCCATGAAAAACTATCAGAAGTGAAAAGATTGGAAGCAAGGTAGATTAAAAGTCTTTTTGCTTTCTCAAAGTATAAAAATAATACAGACTTTTGCTTTCAGTATTGTATTATAAAACATAATAAAGGCTATTTTTCAAAACAATACAAGAGCCCTCTCTGAAGACAAGTTTACCTGGATCACACTGATTTTCTGTGAAAAAAAAAATTCCGGTACAACTAAACATTTCTTAAATTTTTTGAAAATTTGAGAAATAAGGTAGTGGGTTTAAAATCAGTGAAAGTATGCTTCAAGTTGTAATTTTTCAAAAGCCTCTACCCATATTGTCGTCGACACAAACGATCCTTTGAAACTTAAATTTTGGTATCCTAAATAGGCAATACTTTTACCAAACGTTCATGCTTTATTTACTATCAGTTATTGTCATAGTTGAGCTCTCAAGTATTAAGTATCATACACCTTATGGAAAAAATAAACTGACATGCATATAGGTACAAAAAAGAGACATCGGATAGAATGATCTCTGATAATAATTCCACCAAATATAAGGATGCTATTGAAAGACTGAGAAAAGAAAAAAAAATCATCAAGAATAGAATTGCAAATGGTACTGAGGAAGACGAAAGAATCTTATCATTACCTAAATACCGAACAAGTTCTTGTGAAAGAAGAACTGCATAGCAAAGAGAGGGAACAGTCTGAGTTAGTTGTTTTGTTCAAGGATAAGGAGAACAAAGATTTACAAAACATAAAACAATATAAAAGGGATATTGAAACTTTAAAATCAAGGTGTAGGGATGACGATGACAAAATGAGGCAATCGGAACATGAAATTGAAACTATAAAATCAAGGTGTAGGGATGATATTGACAAAATGAGGTAAATGGAACGTGAAATTGACACTTTAAGATTGAGGTGGAAGGATGATAATGACAAAATGAGGTAAATGGAACGTGAATTTGACACTTTAAAATTAAGGTGGAAGGATGATAATGACAAAGTACAGCGATTGGAACATGAGATTGAAACTTTAAAATCAAGGTATAGGGACGACAATAACAAAAAGAGGGCAAATGGAACGTGATATTGAATCTTTAAAATCAAGGTACTTTTATTTGATCACTTTTCCCTGAAACATGTTTTATGCAAGTAAGCAACAATTTAAATCTCCTAAATGTCCAGTAAAAACAAACTACAAAATGAAATCTATTGCAACTTATTGTGATTGAACCTTTAAAGTATCAGCAACAGATGAGTTATAATTACTGTGGATTGATAATCAGTAATGGGATATCATTTCTCGTAAAATGTGTGGTTACATGAGACCACAAATTTGAATGCTTGACAAAATACATTTTTTTATTGACGGCTGTCCCATTTCAGCACGTATGGTAACCATGGATGTCGTTTTTAGAAATACGGTAACCACCTATAGAGGCAAATTGAATAACATTTTATTCCCCAAACCACTCTAAGGTTTACCCTTGTCCATTTGTACTTCCGTCAGTCATTGCGTACGTCCCAAAATTGTGTCCGTTCTCTGACTATAGTTTGACTCAACCAAATGGTCTGAAACTTATACATAATGCTTAATACCACCAAGCACAGATCATGTTTGAATGTATGCTCATATAAAATGATCGACACAGTAAAAGAGAAAAATGAATATGATACTAATTTGTTATATTAAATAGACCATTCGATGAAAAGAAGTTCCCTTTTGTTTAAAAAAATCAAATATCATATTTTTTTCAGAGTAATGTGACTTTAAGCATCATATTTCAGGCTATTTTTCTGATTTCGTGCACCAATTGTATGCTTAGATTGATTTCCTCAAAACTTGACACTATTATCATGCTTTATGGGATGTAGTGACATTTAAAATACTAAGTAATCAAATGCATCCGCTTTTAATTCTAAACTTTTAGAAAAGTAAAGACTGAGAAACACAAACCGCAAGAAAATACTAGGGTTGATCTCAGGTGCTCCAGAGAGGTAGGCAGATCCTGCTCAACATTTGACATCTATCATGTTCCTCGTGTAAGTATAAATTGGGTGATAAATCTTATTTTTGTGATGTCACATTTGAGGAAAACAGGACGGGATTGTGTTTACAACAATTTGATCATCATATCCTTTGGCCTCTGTGAAACTTATTTGCCATAATCGTCAACAACAGGCAATGCCATATGTAAAAAATTCAAGGAATGACTTCTATTTTACCGTTTTGGACTCTTTGTATGCAATTTAATCTATCAAGCAAATCATGAAATCACAAGCTCTTGACTATCGTGCAATCGGAAGATTCATACTCCATGTTTGATAGTGGGTTTAGATTACAAAGGACTTTACATGTTCTTCAAAACTTCTTTTAACTGTTGAAAATGTTAATCACATTACATTGGAAGGGTCTTAAAGACTATTTACTGAAATTTCTGCGAGGGATAATTTTTGTGTTTACATATTGAAAACTGATTTTATAGCAATCAAGTTTGTGATTTCCAGTATACGTCAAATGGAAATATTCTTTATCGGTTAACTTTGATTATGATTTTAATTTTAATGTGAAGAATTTGGAATATTGCAAGAGCAGTATTAATATTGCTTTATATAGGAAAGCATTCATTTTCTTATCATTGTTACTTTTCATAAAAGGTTTCATGAACTAGTATTTATAAACCTGTATTTGTGAAGAAAAATGACTAAATTCAGGATAAATAAAATGTACTTAGTTGACAAATGTAGGTCTCAAGAAGTCAAATATAGGTCTTAAGAAGTCAAGTATAGACCTCAAGAAGTCAAATATAGATCTCATGAGGTCAAATATAGATCACAAAAAGTCAAATATAGGTCTCAAGAAGTCAAATATAGATCAAATGTAGATCTCAAGAAGTCCAGTATAGATCTCAAAAAGCCAAATATAAATCTGAATATGTCAAGTATAGATATCAAGAAGTCAAATATAGGTCTCAAGAAGTCAAATATAGATGAAATATAGATCTCAAGAAGTTATGTAAATATTGAAAGAAGTCAAATATAGATTTCAAGAAGGCATATATAAGTCTCAAGAGAGCAAACATAGAAGACAAATATAGGTCTCAAGAAGTCAAATATAGATTTCAAAAAGACAAATATAGGTCTTAAGAGGTCAAATACAGAAGTCAAATATAGAAGTCAAATAGAGGTCACAAGAAATCAAATAGAGATCTCAAGAAGTCAACTATAGGTCGCAAGCAGTCAAAAAGAGATCTAAAACATTCAAAAAGACATCACCAGAAGTCAAATAGAGATTTCAAGAAGGGAAATATAGATCTCAAGAAGTCAAACAGAGATCTCAGGAAGCTAAATATAGATCTCAAGAAGTCAAATAGAGATCTCAAGAAGGAAAATATAGATCTCAAGCAGGGAGATATACATCTCAAGAAGTCAAACAGAGATCTCAAGAAGTCAAATAGAGATCTTAAGAAGAAGTCAAATAGAGATCTCAAGAAGAGGTCAAATAGAGATCTCAAGAAGTCAAATATACATCTCAAAAAGCCAATACAGATCTAAAAAAGTGAAATAGAGATCTCAAGAAAACACAGGAATTTGAAAGTGTTTGTAAAAGGTACATGCACGGCTTCATTTAATTTGTATTTAGATATATAGAAAATTATTTTAATGTTAATTTGATTTTATTAATTCTAGGCTTGTAATCAACAACAAAGAAAAATCATCGTTACACAAAGAAAATAAAGAACTGAAGAACATTCTCCAGGACAAACTATCAAAAGTGAAAAGATTGGAAGCAAGGTAGAATCAAAGTCTTTTTGGTTTCTCCGTGTATAAAAATAATACTGTCCTTTGCCTTGACTATTGTATTATAAAACATAGCGAAGGCTCTTTCAAATCAATAGAAAAGCCCTCTCTGAAGACAAGATTACCTAAATCATACTGATTTCCTATGAAAAAAAAAACAACTTTTTGTTGTACAACTAGAAATTTCAAAATTGTTTTGAAAATTTGAAAAATAAAATAGTGCGTTTGAAATCAGTAAAAGTTTGCTATAATTTGTATTTTTTCAAAAGCCTCTACCCATAATGTCATCGACACACAAATGCTATGAAACCTAAATTGTGGTGTCATATTTAGGCCATACTTTTACCAAACTTTCATGGTTTTATTTGCTGTCAGTTTTTGTCATAGTTGGGCTCTCAAATATTAAGTATCCTTATGGAAAAAAATAAACTGCCATGCATATAGGTACCAAAAGAGACATCGGATAGAATGGGCTCTGATAATATTTCCACCAAATATAAGGATGATAATGATAAACTAGAGACTGAGGAAAGAAAGAATTTCAGCAAGAATAGAATGCAAAGGAAACGGAGGGAGAAGAACGAATCTTAGCGAAACCTAAATACTAAACAAGTTCTTTTGAGAGAAGAACTTCAGAGCAAAGAGAGGGAAAAGTCTGAGTTGTTTGCTTTGTTCAAGGGTAAGGGGGACAAAGATTAACCAAACATAAAGCGATATGAAAAGGATAGTGATACTTTAAAATCAAGGTGTAGGGAGGACAATGAAAAAATGAGGCAATCAGAGCATGAATCCGAAACTTTAAAATCAAGGTGGAGGGATGATAAGGACAAAATACAACGATCGGAACAGGAGATTGACACTTTAAAATCAAGGTATATGGATGACATGGACAAAATCAGGCAAATGAAACGTGATATTGAAACTTAAAAATTAACGTACTTTTATTTGATCACTTTTCCCCAAAAAGTGTTTTATGAAAGTCAGCAAAAATTTAAATCTTCTAAATGTCCAGTAAAAAACAAACTACAAAATCAAATCTATTGCAAATTACTGTGATTGAACCTTCAAAGTATCAGCAACAGATGAGTTATAAATACTGTGGATTGATAATCAGTAATGGGATACCACTTCTCGCGAAATTTGTGGTTACTTGAGTCCACAAATTTAAATACTTGACAAAATACATTTCAGCATGTGTGGTAACCAGGGAAGTCATTTTTAGAATAGGATAACCACCTATAGAGGCAAATTGAAAATAATTTGATTCCCCACAACACTCTTAGGTTTACCCTTGTCCATCTGTACGTTCGTCCGTCATTACGTACGTCCCAAAATTTGTTTCCGTTCTCTGACTTCAGTTTGCCTTAACCGAATGGTCTGAAACATATACATAATGCTTATTACCACCAAACACAGATCAAGTTTGAATGTATACTCATATAAAATGATCGACACAGTAGAAAAGAAAAATGAATATGATACTAATTTTGTTCTATTAAGTAGACCATTTGATGAAAAGAAGTTCCCTTTTGTTTTAAAAAACAAATATCATATTTGTCCAGAGTAATGTGACTTTAAGCATCAGATTTTGTGCACCAATTGTATGCTTAGGTTGATTTCCACAAAACTTGACTCTATTGTCATGCTTTATGGGATGTAGTGATATTTAAAATGCTCTACATGTGACATCCATCATGTTCTTCATGTACGTACAAATTGGGTGATAAATCTTATTCTGTAATGTCACATTTGAGGAAAACAGGACGGGATTGTGGTTACAACAATTTGAACATATGCATTGTCAACTGTGAAACGTATATGCCATAATCGTCAACAACTTGCAATGGCATCTGTAAAAATTGTCAAGTAATGACTTCAACCTCACCGTTTGGGACCCTTGTAAGCAAACATTCTCTATCTAGGAAATCATGATTGAAAACGCAAGCTCTCAACTATGGTATCAACCGGGAGATTTATATTTGATTCCATGTTTGAAGTGGGTTTAAATTACAAAGGACTTTACTTGTTCTTCCAAATTTCTTTTAACTGTTGGAAATATTTGTCCCTATTACATTGGAAGAGTCTTAAAGACTATTTTATGTAATTTCTACGAGGGATAATTTTGTGTTAAAATATTGAAAACTGATTTTAAAGTGATTAATTTGGTGATTTCTAGTATGGGTGAAAAAGTAATGTTCTTTATCGGTTAACTTTGATTAGGATTTAAATTTTTTATGTGAAAAATTTGGAATATTGCAAGAGCAGTATTAATATTGCTTTATATAGGAAAGCATTCATTTTCTTATCATTGTTACTTTTCATAAAAGGTTCCAGGTATAAGTAGATTTAAAAAATAACTTCAGAAGTTCTTAAACAAAGAATTTAAAATCTGCAGCAAAAGAAATTCAGATTTTAATCAGAGGTAAATGATAACGGACTTTTGATACATTTAATACATGAAATTTGTTACCAGGCTAATTTGGACTACTACATTTATTTTATCATTTTATTTAAAAATTATCTTTTTTTTTACAAAAAGATGGTTTTTCAAATCAAGCGATTTACAGGTCTAGAAAAATTATATGTTTTTAATCTTTATAAGTGACATTTGATGTTTAAAGATTTTTGACATATTTATTTATTTGTGAAGTAACTAAAATTACTATGAGAGATTTCAATCTTTAATTCTTACTAAAAGTGTGAAAATATTGTAAACAGAATAATGTAATGATCATGATAATGAGATTAAATGAGTAATTATAATTATCTGTTCTGTTAATAAATGTGAACGCTGTAACTTATTGCAACAGGTTATGAAAGGTTTTTTTTTATTAGAGTGTTGCTACAAACATTTCATAGTAATTAATTATTGATGGTTATCTTTGTTGAACACGGAGATACAGAAAGAGATCAAACCAAGATAGAGTCATAATGTAATGCTGGCATTTTCCATTTGTTTTAAATGATAAAATGTGAATGTGTTTGATTTCGTTTACTACATCCAACTAGTTCCTCTCATTCTGTCATTGGTGTCCTTAAGACTTTGATAATTTTTCAATGATTTTACAAACGCAATCAAAACTCTGTAACATTTAGGAACCAGATCAGTCCATTTTCTACAAATATTTAAGCTAGAGATCAATCTGTTGTTAAATCTTATCATTGTGCATATGTATGAATGAATCTTGACTTTTGACATTTAGTTAGGATTATTAGTTTAAATATAGATCTCAAGAAGTCAAGCATAGATCTCCAGAAGTCAAGTATAGGTCTCAAGAAGTCAAGTATAGATCTCAATAAGAAAAATACAGATTTCAAGAAGACAAAAATAGGTCTCAAGAGAGCAAATATAGAAGTCATATATAGGTCTCAAGAAGTCAAATATAGATTTCAAGAAGTAAAATATAGGTCTCAAGAGGTCAAATATAGAAGTCAAATATAGGTCTCAAGAAGTCAAATATAGGTCTTTAGAAGTCAAGTACAGATCTCAAGAAATTAAATAAAGATCTCAAGAAGTCAAATATAGGTCTCAAGAAGTCAAAAAAGGAAATCTAAAACATTCAAAAGAGATTGCAAGAAGTCAAAAAAGATCTAAAAGAGTAAAAAAGAGATCGTAAGAATTAAATAGAGATCTCTACAAGTCAAACAAAGATTGCAAGAAGTCAAATATATATTTCAAAAAGACAAATATAAGTCTCAAAAAGTCAAATATATATTTCAAAAAGACAAATATATAAAGTCTGAAAAAGTCAAATAAAGAAATCAAATATTGGTCTGAAGAAGTCAAATATATAAATCAAGTAGATCTCAAGAAGTCAACTATAGGTCTAAAAAGTCAAAAAATGATCTAAAACAGTCAAAAAGAGATTGCAAGAAGTCAAATATATATCTCAAGATGTCAAATAGAGATCTCAAAAAGTCAAATAGAGATGACTAAAAGTCAAATATAGGTCTCAAAGTCAATTAGAGATTTCAAAGTCAAATTTAGGTCTCAAAGTCAAATATAGGTTACATGAAGTCAAATATAGGTCTCAAGAGGTCAAATAGAGATTTCAAAGTCAAATTTTTGTCCCAAAGTCAAATGTAGATCTCAAAAAGTCAAAAGTAGGTCTCAAAGTCAAATATAGGTCTGATGAAGTCAAATATAGGTCTCAATATCAAAATATATAGATCTTAGGAAATTAAATATAAGTCTCAAAGATAAATAAAGATTTTAAGAAGTCAAATATAGGTCTCAAAGTCAAATATAGATCTCAAGCAGCCAAATATATGTCTCAAAGTCAAATATATATCAAATATATATCTCAAGAAGTCAAATATAGGTCTGAAGTAAAAACCAGAAAGTATTCACAGTTATTATTACATTTTTATTTAGATTTTAGAAACTATTTGAATGTTTATTTGAGTTTTTATTTCTAAGCTTGAAATCGACTATATAGCAAAATCATCAAAACACAGAGAGAATAAAGAACTGAAGAACATTCTCCATGAAAACCTATAAGAAATGAAAACATTGGCAAACATGATTATAGATATCTCAAGAAGTCAAACAGAGATCTCAAGAGGTCAAATAGTGATTTCTAGAATTCAAATAGGTTTCAAAGTCAAATAGAGATATAAAGTCAATTCTACATGTAGGTCTCAAAGTCAAATATAGATGTCAAAAAGTCAACTGTAGGTCTAAAAGTCAAATAGTGGTCTCAAAATCAAAATATATAGACCTTAGGAAATCAAATATAGGTCTCAAAGTCAAATATAGGTCTGAAGTAGAAACGAGAAAGTATTAACAGTTTTCATTACATTTTTATTTAGATTTTAGAAATTATTTGAATGTTTATTAGAGTTTTTAATTCAAAGCTTAAAATCATATATAAAGAAAAAATCATCAATACATAGAGAAAATAAAAGACTGAAGAACATTCTCCATGAAAAACTATAAGAAGTGAATACATTGGCAAACATGATTATATCAAGTGTATAACAATATTTATGTACAAAGTGGGCACCAACGATGGTAAAACAACACAAATTAGCATGGACATATATATTAGCATCTTGTGTCCCTTTTTTCAGGTTTTTCTGTAATGTATTGTATAGAACTAGTTGAAATAATATGTAAATAAGAAAAAAAACAGAAAAATTACTCAGCTGAAAAAGTGTGATACAATCTGGACACGTCATAACAGAAAAGTTAGTTGTAATGTCATTTTCAGTTGATGTAAAACATGTTGAATGTTGAAATGAACATACCTGACCAAAAAGTCCTTTTCATACACAGTTGTCAGCAGAATTAGACATAATCAAAGGCCTTTGCCAAAACATAATATACTTGCCAAATTAACATACTTGTATAAACAACTTGAAACAAAATATCTTTTTATGACAGGTATCTCAAAATGAAGTTATTTAAGAAGTTTTTGCAGATATCAATTATATGCAAGAAATTTAAAGCCATAGAGCAAATATACAAGGCACAGGTCACTTACGTATATCTGATTGACTTCAAGTATGGTGATACTTATATTTGATAGAAATATTTCATGTAAACATCTTCCGAATGCTTTCGGATCCAATTTTTATTCTTTTTGATAGCCTTGCCTTAAAAACTAATTGATTAAGCATTAAGCATTTTAAAATCAGTACAATTTATATTTGTAATTTGACAGGGTTATGTTAAGTAAAGAAGAAAAAGTTAAATTGAAAAAAGACAATGCTGATTTGAAGCACAAACTGCAGAGCTTAAAGAAGAAACTGAAGGAATTTGAAAACAGGTTTGTTTGAGTATAGCATATTTACGGTATTAAAGAAATAGATTTGTAGTCTGCATGACCGTGGTTTGGGTTTAAAGGAGGTGTCACCGCCACTCCCTCGTATCATGAATTATTTAATATATTGTAATCAGTTAAGTTTCTTCGCCATTAACCATGTATAAAGTAAAATAACAAAAAAAAAACTTCAAGAAAAATTCAAAACGGAAAGTCCCTTATCAAATGGCAAAATCAAATCCTCAAACACATCAAACGAATGAAAAACCACTTTCATCTTTTATATTTGTCATGACAATACGTTTCAGTACTAGACGGGATCTTAAGTGTAGTGACTAGAGATTAAGGGGTGCAGCCCCGATATTAAGACACCCCATTAGTCCGACAACCCATTATTCCGACGCCCGATGGGTCCGACACCCCAATAGTCCGACGCCCCAATAGTCTGACACCGAATAATTGAAAAATAGATAATATCGTTTTATATTAGAAAGCCTGATGACGTGTTTATTTTATATTTAAAATGTGTTTAGGATCGAACGGGAAATATTCACCAATACAACATATAAAATGATCGAGACGCGGAACTTGATGTCTTGCGTGACTAAAAAACGAGCACTATCAATATCTTAACTACAGTACACATTTTGTCAAACTAGAATATAATTTGTAAAATTTTGTTGAATTTCTTGCATGCAGATTCGTAACTGTGTATCTCTCCCAAAGTAGAGAAGTAAGAAAACCAAGGCTTGCTCTAATGTCTTCCAAATAGAACTCTTTAAAATTTGACTCGTTCTCATTAAGGAATCTGTTTTGACTGTACCGTCGGAGTTCACAACAACAATATACAAGCTGGTAAATAGTAATAATGAAAACAACAATTAAACTAGGTAATCAAATTAATAATTTCATCATTTTTAGACATCTAACAAACGGGGAGATTAGATGGTTATGGAGTTTTATATGAGTCCATATGTTGCTGTGCAATAAACCACTTTTGATAGCGAACCAACCTCTATGTATTTTTCTAGTGACTGTATTTGTCATAGGAACATGTCAGTATGCCATATTTACGAAGCTAGAGAAGACAAGTTTAGCAAAAAACAACTAATAGAAAAATTAAACGATATGAAGCAAAGGCTAACTCTTTCATAATTAGGGCACTAAAAAAGGCAAATTCAAAGATAATTAATTTTCGTATGTACACTGCAAATAAATCAAGGAATTTGAGACTGGACAATCTTCTCACAAAAAATATGATGTAATGTCATAGTAAAAGGCTATACATCCATAGGCAATTCTCTGAATAAAAATTACCTATATGTATATAGATAAAAAAAAATCGGATATACATCAGTTATTGTGACATGCTATACATCCACGTGCCAAATATTAAATCTTTGTTAAAATATGACAATATTCGGCATGAGAAAAAGACAAAAGAGAACAACAAAATGCTTTAAAATTGGTATTTGCTGCTATTTTGACAACAAAGTCCGAGATACAATGTAAAATGCACCTTAATATTTGATATTATATTTACTTTTATAGTATATAAATAGTTTACGAAGAAATGTTTATTTAACCGAAGTATTATATTGTACTTCCATGATTTAGCGACCCCGATGAAGAGAAGACATTATATTCTTTTAGTCCACTATTAATTTCAACACATTTATACACTCAGGTGAAAAATAAGCAATGATAGTACATGTTTATTTATCAAGCCAAGCATACTAGTATTTTTGAATCCTTGAAATAAAAATATTTTCTCTCAAAATGTGCAGTTTTGGGAGCATTAGGTGGCACCAGCTTTTACTTGTTTTTGGAAGCTTTATCAATAGATTGAAAAAGACAGTATTTGTGATATAATCTAAATTGATTTAATAGTCAAACATTTAGGTTGATCCTTTTTTTATATCTTTGTCGTCTATGTTAGCTTTAAACTAGGACCACAGTCCTCATTAAACAAAAGATATGAGGAACTTAAGTGTATTCTTCGAGACAAACAAAGATAATTAAAAGAAATGAAAACAAGGTTAGAGATTGATGCAATTGCTTATGGATGTCATCATGTTTTATTGTATGTTTAAATTACAAAGGGCCTAAAATGTTCTTCAATTTCCTTTAACATTGAAATTTATCCAATATTGATAATAGTGAACTGACATCGACCATACAATTTTTTTTAATGCACCTAACAGACGGCTACATCATATAGTGTTCGAAAGTTTATCATCGGTACTTTTTTGTTTTACACGGTCGTAAAAATATTTCCGTGAAATCATGATCAAAGGTCAAGGACAGACACTTTTATATTTTGTAAGATATCAGCATTATCACAGATTCTGTCTTTTCTATATTAAGATGATATATGAAAATCAGGAAAAAGATTTAGGAAAGAAATGAATGTTCATTTATCAAGCGCACTTTGAAAAATTTAAAATGTGTTTATAATATACAGCACCTTTTTCCAGAAATTCCAGTACAAATAATAAAACTGAATGAAAACCAAAACATTTCTTTCTGAATCAACTGTTAATCTCTAAAACCAGATAAGAACCATTACTTAGTGCTTACAAAGTTGTTGGCATCATCAGTTTGCTGCAATCACGGTTAATGCTAACAAAAACAGCCAATCATAACAACTCATATACAGATGCCCATTATACTTCCATCTGCAAATACACAGCTTTGTGTCTCTCTTACGCTGAAACGTTGTTTGTATTTTATATTAAGTTGATGAAACACCATTCTGATAAATGTTAAAACATTTAAAGGTAATAATACAAACGGGAATAATGCTTTTTGGTGTGAATTTAAGGAGCGAAACTTATAGTTTAATATTTGTATTATAACTGCGGGTCTATCTGACTTTTCCTATTTATTTGATTTGTTATTTAGATATACACAATGATATAATTAAAAGACTTTATTTACATAAACTCAATGATGAAAAGAAATTAGAAATATTTATACACAAATAAATAAAAATTCACTTAATGAAAAGTGAAAATATAAAGAATTATCATATACAATTAGAAATTGAAGCTTCAACTGCATTATGCAGTGTTCGTTGTTTAAATGCATAAATTTATCGACGACAGAAAAAAAGATTTTACATGTAAAACTATCATATACTAGTCGTTGTAATGAACTTAGGGCCTGTTCGAAGTAAGAAACCGTATAAGAATATTTAATTTTCAAGAACCTAATAATTGACATGTTACCGCTACATTGATGTTCATTTTTTACCTCACCTCCTTAAAACAAAGTTGACATCAATATATTTGTAATCTTTTTGGACATAAAACTCCTTACGTATTCAAGTAGTTAAACCTCATTCGCTTTTTTAATTTCAGTTTCAAGTATTCACCGCACGCCTGGTGTCCAAAATTATAAGTCTGGTATCTTCGATGAGTTTTTAAAAAAAAATTTTTGCTGATATTTGTTGTTCTCTGCGTTAAGTCCATTAGCTGACTTTGCAGCGATTTTTCATATTAAAGAAGATTTACGATTTGTTGTATTTATTCTGCTTTATTTTTCTACTACAAAAGTCGCGTACTTAAATCGAATGCCAAACTGGTTTTAATTACTGTAAACAAACAAAGTTGTGTTTATTTTCACAAATTTAGCGAGAATGAAAATAACACGAATATCAATCGACGCGAAGGTGTTAAAATTTGTATCTTCCATTATAGGAAAACAGCAAGGAAATTAGAAATTCGCCACGATGTCGACTAGAACGAGCTCAACGCGAAATAAAGTATCCGCGAAAATAAATTGGTTTACAGTATTATCGTTAATAAAATATCAGGATGTGCATATGTATATAATAAATAATATTTACTTTGATTTTAATTTACTGATAACAAAACCAATATAAACATGATAAATACCAATAAAAACAATATTTAAAAAGACCTAATTACAGTGTTGAAATGGTTTCCTTTTAGAATAGGTTTATTAAAGGATCGATAAGTTTTCCCGGAGTGTATCTTAATTTCCGAGCTCGGTAAACAACATCTCTATAAAAATAAGAATGTACTATGCCATTTAAAATATGTTTTCTACAGGAACATCCAAACTTCCAAATCAAATCTGTGTATCTATGGAAGAATTTAGAAAAGGTTTTAAGTAATTTGTGGTACCGAAATCCCTGACTTAATAATTTACCAGTAATACATAGATTACGTTCATTGAAATCCAAAACGTCACAACATACATTGGCATAGCGAACAAGTTGTTATACATAAGTGGTGCAAATGGAGCATCACCGTCCACAAAAGGACATCTAACAAAAGGGAACGTCCCTTTTGTCGTAAATTTTAGTGTAGAGTTTTCCGTGTAAATCTGAAATATCTAAATCTAGGAAAGGACAGTTATTACTGTTTATATTTAATTTATTTAAAGTAAGTTCCTTTCGGTAAATGTCGGCAGTATATTTAGAAAATTCTTGATTATTTTACGAAAAAATAAGATGAATAATAACAAAAATATCTATAGATGTTATTTTCATTCAGCTTTCAGAGACAAGTAATTATGACATTGTGGTCCCATTGAAAAGGGATTCAAAGTTTTATTGATATTGTCAACATTACTACATTTCTAAATCATAGCATGGATTCCATATCAAGTGATCATGACTTTCACTACATAATCTATATCATCATATGGATAATGTTTTAAACTGCAAGACTTTTTGAATATCTCACTCTTACAAAGTTGCCGTGCTAATTTCGTCCTTACGAAATTGTTTTGACGATATAGCTAAATTAAATGCAAATTCATACCGTCCTCACATAGCTTGTGTTCGTGAATTTCATATAGTAAAATATGGTAAAACATTCACTGTGTCGTGTTACTAATCAAATTCTGAGGAGAGAATGGTTATTTTCTGTACGTCAAATTTCTGTTTTCTATTTGTAATTTTAGGTGTATCCCAAAAGTTCTGGAAACTGAAAGAAATATAAAAGAGCTTGAAAACACAATTGAGGATCTGAGAGACGAAAACAGGAATCATATGCTAAAACTGGAAAAGTTTAACGAGGAAAAGACAGAATTTGAAAAGCAGCTGAGGTGAATTTTTTCAAATGTTTGGTAAAAAAAGATGGATTTTATTTTCACTTGATTTTTTAGGATCTTTTCAATGCATTAAAGTAAAGTGTATATCTTATTTCATAGCAATCCAACCGTTGGGTCGATGTTACTGCTGATGGACATTGTGTCCTCGATGATATCAGCAAGTCTGTTTTTTTATTGTTATTTCAAACTAGTTCGTTATTTAGTCGTTATACGTCTTTAGCAAATGGCGTTCCAGGTTTTCTCCGACTTATAAGTTTTAAATGTCCTATTGCTATCTTCCGCCTTTATTTTTCCGTGTTGACAGGACAAATTATTGACCTTTGTTAGACATTGATTTTCTGTAAATTTATATTATATAGAATATCAAATTATTCGAAACACTATCGATTTTCTATCCAAGACATTTAAAGTCACTGACGAGTTTCATACAAACGAAACGCGTATAGTGTACTAAATTATAAGCCTAGTTTCCATAATGAGTTTAAATAAAGGCACAGTCGTGTTAACTATTTGGATGCTAATAGTCATAAAAAAATTTCAGACTTTTAATGGTGGTCGCCAGGCGTCAACACTGGTTATTTGAGAGACGCTCAATAAATAGTCAGAAGGCCAAATCGACTGATAAATGCCTTGATGAGCATTACAAATCAAAACTTTCTAAAAATTATGTCAAATCTGAAAAAAGCCATTAAAGATTGGGTAGGAAAAACTAAACTTCTCGATTCATTGATGTTCCGGATAAACACCAGATACCTGCTTTACAGTTTAGTATCGTAGTGTAACTGTTAGGCTGCTGAAACCCTGAGGAACGAAATGTCCACCCGCAATTTTATCGAATCAGCGTGTGTGCATATATGAAGATATAAACTAAGACTATTGTTTTAGAAGTATAACCTAAGCGTGGTGTGGTCTGCTATAAATATATTCAATGAATGTTAATCTTATAATGATGCGCACTGTATATTTGCGGAGAGTTAAAGTAATGCAAAAGAAAGTGCAAGACAGTTTTATCATTTCGAAGTATTAACATGTAGTTAAAACTTGATAATAATAGTGTTCTCCATTTCATTTGCAATAGTACAAATATAGCATACGATTGATTTATATCGGCTGTGTTGAATAATTATTGTTGATAAGGATGCATTAGTAAAAATAAACACGAGAACCAACCAGATATATAATTTTATAAAAACATTGTTCTGTCTTTGCCATAGATATAAAAAAAAATTGGAAATAATTAAAGATTATTTTTTTGTCTATCTAAAAATACCTCATCTCTCATGTATTCCACCCATTCATGCAACCATCCATTTTCTTATACAGTTACGAATACACAGGTCCGACATCCTGTCGATACTTTTAGTTAGTCAGTGCACAAGGTCATGTTTTCCTCATACTGTTTATGACGTTTTTACACTTAATCCGCTATATGTGTACTGATTGAATGATGTCTGAGAAACATGATTTTTTTATTAGTTGTAACAAGCTTTGAACTAACCTTTTGTAATTACAAATACTGTTAGATCGGTACTTTTTTCATTGTGTAGATCTGATGATCGGGTAAAGCCTTTTTCAATCGATTTTTATAATTTCCTCTTATTTCATGCTGTTACACAACTTGTCCGAGTTAAATCAAGGGCTAGGTGCTCGAAAGCATCTTTAACCCCGCCACATTCGGTATGTTCCTGTCACAATTCAGAAGCCTGTAATTCCGAGGGTGTCATTGATCGCTGTCTATTATATATTTTTTTCGTTTGAATTGGTTTACATTAAGTCATTTTGGGGCTTTTTATAGCTTATTATACATTATGGGTTTCCTCATTATTGAATGCAATAGAAAGACACATAGTTGCTTAATCTTCTTCATTTGGTATTTGTCGGATAGTTGTCTCATTTGTAATTGTAGCATTATCTCCTTATTTGTAAATTGACATCAATCATGTCTATTGGTGCATTCGATTTAAACATCTTTTGTTCAGTGATACACTATTACTCAATCTGTACTGAGATTAAGAATTGAAGATATATATATATCTAAATATTTCATAAACGATGAAGCAATTACTAAATACTGAAAACTGAACTGCGTATTGACTTCAATGATAAGCTATGCAAGCTGTTGAAACCGTTTTATTATTGGTACACGCATTTAAAAAAAGGTATGATAAGAACTAGTTCAGGTTCCAATTTTGCAATACATAGTGCATATAATTGGAATTAAGTTTTAAAATTGCAAATGTCTCATTTACTTTTATTAAACAATACAGATTAAAAGACGACAAAGTGGAATTGCTGTACAATTCACTTGAAAAGGAAAGACCTGAACACGAGTCAGCAATGAAACGGTAAGAAATTTGTAAAAAAGAAGATCATATTGTCTTTTGATTTTAATTTCATTTTATATCTTTTTCCCTTTTTATTCCTATATATGAAGAAGGAGATGTAGTATGATTGCCAAAGAACTAACGATCCGCCAAAGTTCAAATGAATATAAGTAATACGGCCTTCAACAATGAAAACTCCATACCGTATAGTCGAGTATAAAGGGTCCCGAATAAAATATATGAAACAATTCAATTAAGGAAACTCTCAGCCTAATTTATAACAAAATAATTTACTAAAAAACAAAAATGGCAGACATGAAGCAACGACATCCACTGAACTACAGCTCCTGACTTGGGACAGGCAAAAAAAAAGCGGCTTGGTTTAACCTGGGACAGTGGTGCTACAGTACAACATAAGAACAAATTATTAATATTATATGGAACGCCAAAGCTGTCTTATCATGCCCATTTTTATTATATGATGTGCATTTACCTTTATATCATGTGCACTTGTCATTATATGATGTGAAAACATACTTATGTGATGTGCAAATATACTTATATGATATGCAAATATACTTATATGATGTGCAAAAATACTTATATGATGTGAAAACATACTTATATGGTGTGCAAATATCTTTAAATGATGTGCAAATATACTTATATGATGTGCAAATGTACTTACATGAAATGCAAAAATCCTTTTTTGCTGTGCAAATATATTTATATGATGTGCAAATATCCTTATTTGATGTGCAATTTCCCTTATACTTTGTGCAAACATCTTTATATGGTGTGGTTGCGTCATTATATAATGTGCTTTTAACATTACACGATGTGGTTCGGTTTACTTCATTATATGATGTCAAAACGTCTTTTAAATTATATGATGTGCTTTCATCGTTGTTATGGTCAATGAACATGATCACGATTAGAACGATTACTGTCTACGTCATAACTGATTCTGATCTGCTTCTCTGGAATTACTATAAACCCGGCTCAAATCTGTAGCTATCGTTTGGAAAATGGTTGTAATTTTAAGAGATAAACCTTGGCACGTTGGTAACTCGTTAAAAGATGAAAAAATCACATCTGATGTTGGAAAATTGTCAAAATATGAATTGCAAAGTTTAGGTTTAATTGATGGGTCTACAATAATGAACATACTATTAAAGTTATTAAATTATGGGTCCTCGACTGTGTACTGAGCACCTGGAGATCAAATGATCGATAAACCAGAGGATATTCTGCATTTTTTTTTAATGCCAGTTTACTGTTTCTGATTTAGCAGCTCTAGCCTCGTATCGGCTTCCAAAGTGCATTTTATAGAAAAAATGAGACAGTGTAATTTATCAAAAATCCACGAGTCAATCATTTCGGAGGAAGCTTTAAATCAATTAAAAAATTATTTGAAGAATTTCCCTGCTGCGGAGATAATATGATAAATCATTTTTTTTTGGCAAAAAGACACCAATTTAATCACAGTCATTTTTAAAAGTGTTTCATAACAATAGCTATACAATTCTACTCATGCATAATTATACTGATATGTATGATTGATTGATTGATTGGTTGATTTGTGTTTAACACCACTTTCAACACTATCGAACTTTTTTGTGGCGGTCAGTTTATATTGATGGAGGAAGCCGTAGTGCCCGGAGAGAACCATCACCCACAAAAGATGAATATTCGGTGCCTAACCAATCTGATTAAGATACAGATCCTGTGTCTAAGCTTTGGTTACAAGGATCTGACACCACTACATTTTACTTTCTGTTCTGGTAATTATTACATCAGCCAATGAAATTTTAGCCTATAAATGTTTGAAGGTGTGTATCAATCCGACAAAACCAGAGAATCACAAACGGTGTTTAAACAGAAAATAGATTTGATTGATTTTTGGTGTTTTTACGCCACTTTTAAGCACCGCTTTTTGGCTATTTCGTGGCGGCCAGTTTTTATTGGTGGAGGAAGCCGGAGTGCCCGGAGAAAACCACCGACCTTCGACCTCCAGGACAACTGATAATCCTAGTCAATCAAGATTTACGTCGAGTGCACCCGCACGAGCGGGGTTCGCACTCACAACCTCAGTGTTTACTGGCTAGTGATTACAGTAGTAAGTACTTAGACCATTCGGCCACCGAGGCCCCCAACAAAAAATAAAATGGAGCGTTTTCGGATCCTTGTAAGCAAAGCTTGGACGATTGGTGTCTAAATGAACATAACAAACAAAAAAACATTGTTTACAGAGGCCTGTTGGTCTCATACAAATAGAGAGTTGTGTTTTTTTTTTAAAGTGAGCGCTGCATAAGTAAAATCATTCGCTATAGATTTAAAGCCAAGCGCTGTAGATATAATGTCCAGCACAGTAGATATAAATTCCCTTTACATCTCCAGCGCTGGACTGTACATCTCAAGACCAACAGGCCTCCTTAATCATTAAAGCTTGAGGATTTAGGATGTTAAAATATCTTTTTTTAAATAAAGTCCAGTTTTCCAGCAGAAACTGTTATTAGCTCACCTGGCCAACAGGGCCAAGTGAGCTTTTCACATTACTCGGTGGCCGGCGTCCGGCGTCCGGGGTCCGGCGTCCGGCTTCCGTCGTCGTCGTCCGTTGTCCGTCGTAGTGGTCGTCGTCGTCTGTTAACTTTTATAAAAATCTTCTCCTCTGAAACTACTGGACCAAATTTAACTAAATTTGGCCACAATTATCATTGGGTATCTTGTTTAAAATGTGTCCAATGACCCCGTCTGCCGACTAAGAAGGCCGACATAGCTAAAAAAGGATATAGGGGTAAAATACAAGTTTTGTCTACTATTTTGAAAACCGTCATATGACCTACCGAATTAGACTTATTACTGGGTTTGTACTAGCATGAGCAACACGACGGGTGCCACATGTGGAGCAGGATCTTCTCTCCCTTCTAGAGCACCTAAGATCACCCCCAATTTTGGGTGAGATTCGTGTTGCTCAGTCTTTAGTTTTCTATGTTTTGTTTTGTGTACTATTGTTTGTCTGTTTGTCTTTTTCTTTTTTAGCCATGGCGTTGTCAGTGTATTTTCAACTTATGAGTTTGAATCTTTTCGCCTCTCTTTTATAAATAGAGAATATGTGACAGAGCAGAAATGTTTGGAATGTTGAGCTCTACCAATTGTTAATGGCGTCAAAGCTGTCAGGCGACTTCTTATAGGAGTTATTACCCTTAATTGACAAATTTTATGATTTGTGTTTTAATTTTTTCCTGTTATCTTGAAAACTATAATAGATAAAAAGGAACATTAAGTTGCAAAAATGATCAGATAGACAAGATCTACGAATAAGTTTTGTATGGTTGAAATCATCAGTTGACACCTTATTAGATTTATTGCCCTTTGATGACGATTTTTACCGATTTTTTGCCTAATATCTTCAAAATTATATAGATAGATAGAAACTTAAATCAGCAAAAATGATCAACTAGAAAGGATCTACATTTAAGATAATATGGAGGAAATTTCCGACGACTCTTTATTGGAGTTATTAACCTTTAATGACGATGTTTACCAATTTTGTTTTGCATTTTGCCTTATATGATAAAAATTATAATAGACAATGATAGATGAATAATAGATGGATAGAAACTTAAATAAGCAAAAATAACAAAAATGATCATCTAGGCAAGATCAACAAACAAGTCAAATTTTGCCGATAAAGTTAGAAGACTGTCACGCTTCATACATTCATAGGAGTGATTGTCCTTTTCTGATTATTATTATTTTAATTAAGTCTCTATGTACATAGCACACAAGTTCCGGGAAGTTTTACATTCCTACCTAGGAGTCCACTCCCGTATTCGGAAGAAGAAGCCCTTAAATGAGATTTATTCTTATAACCCTCTTTATTTTTTTGTGTTTTGAGCAAAAACTAAAGAGGATAGAGAGAAACTAAACAGATAAAATTATCAGCAATACAAGATCAATAAAAAAAGCGATTTTTGTCATGAATGCTATTTTTGTCTTAATTGTTGGATAAAGTCCATGCAGTTTTGAATATGTACATATACCTAGGTGAGCGACACAGGCTCTGTAGGGTCTCTAGTTGTCATACAGGCATGTAAGGCCATGTGAGCTATTCTCGTCATTATAAAGCATACGTCGTTCGTAAAATTTGACATTTTCACCTTCTTCTCTGAAACCACTCAGCTGATTTTAATAAATCTTTGTAAGAATAATGTATTGAAAGTCCTATACAAAATACCTTCATTTAGTTCCGATTGGTAAAAAAATAATACCACCAGAGTCAATCTTTGAATTTGACAGGTCATTTTTAAAAATCCTCTTCACTGAAACTGCAAAGCTATATGTTTGGAAACTCTATATGATTAATGATGAATAGATCCGTTTCAACGATTATCATTTACTATTGATAGGTTGCCGATACTGGTCACAGTGGCACATAGTTTCCATTGAAAAACAACGAGAAATGTAATATAAAAACACTTTTTTATTAAAATAATGCGCACATGAACTTTCTATAACCAACAAATTTATTCCGGCGATGAATCCTTGTAGGAGTCATTGGCTTTAAATAACAATTTTTGGGTAGAAACTGTAAACCGTTGGAATGGTGAGCAATACACGATCTAGGGCAATGTCCAAATAGTCAGCCCTACCTCTTTCATATTGCTTTTGGATAAACACTCGAGTATCTTATTCTAAATTTTAACACATTTGTTCAAGTAAAAAATAATGTTTTGTAAATATTTGTCCCTCCAAGCATTCTAAAATTGTGAACCCTTGAAATATTTTTTTTCGATAAAGGTTAAGTTCGGGGAGATTCAGTTTGCGACGGCGGCTTTTATTATTTTGCGTTTATCTTGAAAACTACAATAGATAAAAAAAAAACAAGGTGCAAGGAAAACAGTCTGAATTGGGCAATTTGGGCTCTTATGAGTGTTGTTGTTTCATTGCCTGATAACTTATTTATAGAGAAACATGTCCTTGCAAAATGGTTGGCAAGAACAGATTTACAAATAAGTATTCAAACATGAATGACTTTTTCATTTGGAGGGGATGGACGTGGGAGGAAAAATGAAATTTCTCAATTATGTTTTCAAGTCCCCACCTTAAAGAAGGGAAATAAATTCAAGACCCCCTTTCCATAGACATAAACATATACCCCTCTCCCACACACACATTTATAATAACCAAAAAATGCATTAAATTTCTATTGCTACTATAGGTATCAAATATTGCGACAGTAGTGGATCTAGAACTTCAAGTGTGGAAGTTGTTTGCGACTTCAAGGAACTTAATTTGGATATGACGGTTATGGTCTCATTGTTATTTACCATACCTTCGTTCAATTTTAGCTTCAGATGAAAAATATTCTGCTGGAAGAACATGTTGAAACTTAGGATTTAGTTCTGAACAATTGAAGCGAGCGGAGCGAGGCGAACAAAAAATCTATGTCTTTCGAGTGAAAACTTTTTCTTTAACTGTAGGGGGGTGTAGAGTCTGGGTCGAACCATGAACAGTTGGGGCAAGTATGGACACACCATTTAAGCTTGAAACAGCTCTGAATTTGGATTATGATTAAATAGTTGACAAACCATAGGTTTCTGACACAGAATGAATGTTGTTTAAGACCTTAAAAAATTGAAATAAGACAATTACCTATTATATGGTCCAATATCCAAATCTATATGGTTAGATTCAGCATATCAAAGAACCCCAAGAATTCATTTTTTGTTGAAATCAAACAAAGTTTAATTTAGACCCTTTGGACCTCAATTTTTGGAACAATTTGAAAACAGGGCCCAAAATCAAAAATTTAATAACACGGTTAGATTAAGCATATTTAAGAACCCCAATAATTCAACTAGCTCCTGTTTTAATGGATCTAAATCTTCCTCGGAAATGTTTGAAACGTTGATTTTTTTATTAAATGGCTCTGTCTCATTTTTTCTATAAAATGCACTTTCGGAAGCTGATACGAGGCCGGAGCTGCTAAATCAGAAACTGTGGACTGGCATTAAAAAAAAAGAAAAGAAAGACAGAATATCCTCTGGTTTATCAAATATCTCCAGGTGCTCAATTCACAGTCGAGGACCCATAATTTAATAACTTTAACCGTATTTTCATTATTGTACACCCATCGATTAAACCTAAACTTTGCTATTAATTTTTTGACAATTTTCCAACAATATTAGATGTGATTTTTGCATCTTTAAAAATAGTTACCAACGTGCCAAGGTTTATCTCTTTTAAAATCTCAACCATTTTCCAAACGATAGCTACAGATTTGAGCCGGGTTTATAGTAATTCCGGAGAAGCAGATCGGAATCAGTTATGACGTAGACAGTAATCCTTCTCATCGTAATCTCGTTCATTGACCATAACAACGACGAAAGCACATCACATAAGGACGTTTTGACATCATATAATGAAGCAAACCGAACCACATCATATAATGTTACAAGCACATTATATAATGATACAACCACATTATATAATGATACAACCACATCATATAAAGATGTTTGCACATAATATTTGGGAAAATGCACATCATATAAGAATATGTGCACATCATATAAGTATATTTGCACATCATATAAGGATTTATGCACATCATATAAGGATCTATGCACATCATATAAGTACATTTGCACATCATATAAGTACATTTGCACATCATATTTAGTATATTTGCACATCATATAAGTATATTTGTATATCATATAAGTATGTTTGCACATCATATAAGTATGTTTGCACATTATAAAAGTATATTTGCACATCATATACGTATGTTTGCACATCATATAAGCATATTTGTATATCATATAAGTATGTTTGCACATCATATAAAGCTGTTTGCACATCATATAATGAAAAGTGCACATCACATAAAGGTGAATGCACATCATATAATGAAAATTAGCATAATAAATCTGTTTTGGAGTTCCATAATATTAGTTGAAAGGGCTGAACTCATTAGATCGATTCAAAGCCGAAAAATAACTAACAAAAACACTAATCAGACGAGGCAGGAAATTTATACATCCCCTACAATAAAAAGACACAAAGTACAGATCTGAGAGTAATCGAAATTACTGACAGCTATTTCAAAGCCAATTTACAATAAAACAAAAAAAATGTCATGTCTCTAAACTAAAATATCAATCAGTAAATATCCAACATCCAATGGATTTAGTATAAAGACGTCATTAACAGTCAAGAAAAAAAAACATGACTTCGTGCAATGCCAACGTATATATGTATCGACAGATTGTAAAACCGTGAATGTGCATATGTGTATAAGAATACTCTTTAGTATGGTTTTAATTAACTGATAACAAAATCAATATTTATACAAATAAAACCACTAATCAAAGATGTGTTGAATTGGTAACTTTTTAGAATAAGTTTATTTAAAGGATCGATAAGTTTACCCGGGTCGTATATAAATTTCCGATCTCGGTAAACAACGTCATCGTAAAAAGTAGGATGTGCTATTCCGTTTGAAATAAGTTTTCTACATGAACAGCCAAAAAATCCAAACCAAATCTTTGTATCTATGGAAGAACTTAGTAGAGGTTTTAAGTAATTTGAAGTAACGAAATCCCTGCCTTAAAATTTTACCACTAGTACATAGATTACCCTCGTTAAAATCCAAAATTATATCAAATTATTATTCGCATATGGTCAAGATTATACTTCAATATTTCAATTTGTAACCAAACGTGTATAAGATAATCTCAAAAGATCCATGATTTGAAAAATAGTCTCAGCTGAATTGAAATTGGTAAATTCCTCAAAATTTGCATACGACAGTTCAATTACATGCAAATAAAGTGGCAATATATTTACTCTGGATTTTATTGCAAATATTACTTAATAAAGCGCTACAACATATATGCTAAACTTCACCTAATCGCTTAGAACATAATTAATTGAAATGTCAAACGCATGCATTATACAACTTTACTGACTACCAGAAAATGAAATAACTTTCAAGATATATATAGATTCTTAGATTTGTACCAGTGGATTATCAGACTTATCCAATCGACGAGGACTTAAAAATTCGATAATCAAACTATCGAAATTGGAAAAAATCCAATACTCCACACGTTACTAAGTATGAATCTGTCTCTCTAACGATTATCAAATACATTTTCATAATTGATAAACATAAAACCCCCATCGATTGACTTCACATTTTTACGTCATATACCTAATTGATGCACAAACCCTTCATTTATGAACAGGCAAACATTAATAAAAGATAACAACTTTTATTCAAGAACATTGAATTTAATGAAAGATATATTCATATGTAGAAGTAAACAACTCGAACAATAATTTATGGAGGTAGAACTATTTCCCCGCAATTAAAGTTTTTATAAAATTGTCAATTTCTCTAATAGGTGTAAGCACATTTGATTTATCCTTAGAGCTGCCAAAGGTTATGACCTTTAAACTTTACCAATCTTCACTGAGATCATCGGGTACCACACGTCGATTTAATCAATGGACTCAGAAAAGGTTAAATTGCCAAATAATTAGAGAAATCATATTTCAACACTTTGTCAAGATGAAATACAAAAATCGTTTCAGACAGAAAGTAAAATTATTTAATATATACAAGTTAATAATAATCAATTTTTTTTTAATTCGACATAACTAATCTGTTCTTTGACCTTTTGAAACTTCATACAAGAATAAGGACATTTGATATGGTTGTCAAGGAGACATATTTACAGCAGAGTCAAAATGGCGAGGATGTTATCAACTATAGATCACCGTACGGCCTTCGACAAAGAGAAAAAATCATACTTTAGAGTCAGCCTTAAAGGTGACAATAAGACAAAATATGAAATCATTCAAACGAAAAAAACTAATGCCCAAGTTTACAGCAAAACAAATAAAAGAAAAAAAAAACCAAACAAATATGACAGACACCAATCACTTAACTATAGGCTAAAGACTTGGACGGTCGCAAAAAGAATGTGACAGGGTTAAGCAAGGTTACAAACATTAAACATTCCCACTAAACTTACCGAGTTGTGTAATAGCACAACATGAGAATACATTGTAAAAATTAGTTGGAAATGACCTGATTTAACAGATTATTACAAAAAAAATACAACTGACATAACGACAAATGAAAGTCAGAATGTGCCGATCTAACAGTATTCGCAGCGACTGGAAGTTGTTTACAATAACTATTAAATAAATCAAACTTTCTCCCAGACTAAAGGATTACATTTATTTCAAACTAGGTTAGAAATGCAGTATACGGCAGTGCAGAATGAGTGTTTTGAACTCTGCTTGATACTCCAAAATATACACAATAGCTCTGAAATGTGAGTTCCATTCATTAATCCATATTGTGTTATGTTTATTAAAGTGTCATTATATTATATTATTATATTTATTTGGTCTTATTTATCGAATATCTATTTCCTGCCAATCATGACGATCAAAATCTGTGGTCTTTATACTGGTAACATAAGCTTCACAAAATTCCTTTTAAAGAGAGATGCATAGGCGGGTCGTCTATATGTTTGGCTTAACATCTTTTCAACTGTTCTTTTCACAATTCCTTTTGAAGTAAAAGATGGCCTCCAAAAATATTGATATTGCGATGAGATGTATTCAGCTAGTGGTGTCGATCAGATGGGGAATCTTGAAAATTCGAAAGATCTACTCAAAAAAGTAAAATCACAATCTTAACAGTTTTCATTATTATCAAAACTTTTGAATTTCCTTTACACAAATATTCTCCATGCTCAATTGTAAGATAAATTACATTGTATCATTAATCAATGAAAATCGTAGACACAAATTCCTTACTTTGGTTATAATAAATACTACTTTGTGAAGAACAGCACTGATTACAACAACAAATACACTTAGGATTATATCATTCAAATGCTTGACCTTTTGACTGACTCCTGATATTTTTCTATTGATATTTCAACGTTCAACAGACATTCGGTTTTCTGAAAGAAAATTAGTATGCACATCTATTGGTCGACTTGTTTTTGTATTCATGTAAAGCATATGTCACATAGAACATGTTCAAAGAAAAAAGCAAAAGCCTGATCTTTAACATGTTAAGTTTACCTTTCTGATTTATTGATATATATATATATATATATATATAAATAAACTCATCATAGATATCAGGAATGTTCAGATTTTCAGATTTCCAATTTTATACCTTATTGTCGACTTCAGTTACTGAAAATTTTTCAATTTAACTCCAACATTCACTCAGAATGAAATCGTTCATATGAAGTGACTTATAAACTTTCACTACAAACAGGGATTTGGAAAAACCAAAAAACTGACTGATGGTTTACTGTGTTTTTTCAACCCCGTACGGACACAAATCAATATTTTGATCGCTGCAAGTTTGTTTTTTTTATAAATGAAGCGAATACTTAACAGATTGGCTTCAATTTTATGTACTCCTTAAAACATTCGCCTGATCTCATTAGAACACTAAAAGAAAATCTTTAGCAACCTTAATTAGAGCTATATTTGTATGGCACTATCCCTGGTTATTCAGTTGAAACTATGACCTATAACTCCTCAAAATTTGAATTTGTAGTATGATGTGATATGTTAATGTTTTATTAATACGTTTTCTTTGTTGTAGATCTTTTGAAAAGTTAGGCTCTGTAATCGACAAAAACATTTTCAGGCAGAAATTAGAAGAAACAGCAGCTAAGGAAAACACGTTAGCAAAAGAAACGAATAAAATAATGAAAAACTTCGCATCTGCTAAAGATAAAAAAGGGTGCATCAAGGTTTTAACGAAAAGGTAAAGAAGTAACAAAATACTTTTGTTTTATGAATTTTAGATTTACACACATGATTTATTAGTATAATAAATCGTTAAAAAATTCTATGAAAGACAGCAGGCTTAAAATTGAGAATTATAGACGACCGTTCCGTTTAGTGGCAATACAATCGTAGGAATATAATCAGAACAAAGCAGATGTAATGATACTTTTCAATACAGAAGGGGTTCTATATTACGAGGTCAGACAGTGTAGTGGAATTCTTAAAGAAAGGGGTGACTAATATTTCTTTAAACAAGGAAAAGACATACTAAGAACAACGTCGGAGAATTGGTCAAGGTGAAACAGTTTGCTTACCAGGAAGTCATAGGAGCAAATTTTTCATTCAAACTTAACGATCTTTTCACCAAGATAACTATTTTAGTACTAGTATTAAAGATTTTAGCTCCACCAAGAGATTGCGAAAAAGAATAATAAATCATATATTGTCCGTAATTTATTTCCTCGATGATGGCAAACAGGTTCTTGTGTGTTTATTGTAGTTGTGTGAGTGTTTTTTTTTTCTTTTATTTGGTGTTGCTGATCTATTTTGCAATTTTAAGTTCCTCTCCATCTATTAAGGTTTCTAAATAATCATCAGTCAGCATTCGCACATACAGTTGGTAGACATCGTCATTTAGAATTGAGGCGAAAGATACCAAAGGGACATTCAAACTCATAAGCCGAAATTAAACTGACAAAGCCATGGCTAAAAAAGAAAAAGACAAACAGACAAACAATAGTACACAAAACACAACATAGAAAACTAAAGACTCAGCAACACGAACCCCACCAAAAAATGGGGGGGTGATCACAGGTGCTCCGGAAGGGTAAGCAGATCCTGCTCCACATGTGGCACCCGTCGTGTTGCTCATGTTAGTAAAAACCCGATAATAAGTCTTATTCGGTAGGTCACATTCGGAAAAAGGGGACAGGATTGTAGTTACGACATAAGGAACATATCCGCTATCATCTGTGAAACGGATATTCCGTAACGGTTAACCATCTCGTGATGGAGTCGGTGACATGTTCGAAGGGATGATTTCAACTTCACCACTTGGAACTCTTGGTTTAATAGCTTCCTTGTGAGCAACAACCCTCTATCAAGGAAATCATGATAGGAAATACAAGCCCTGGAGTATCGTATCAACTGGGAGATATATACTCCGTATGCAGGCGCTGCTGGAATGTTGCTACATAAAAATGGAAAGTTCACCATAAGGAATCTGATTTCATCTCTTTTGTCATCAAGTTTTGTTTTCAACCGACCGTCATTGTCAATTTCTAGATGCAAGACAAAATATGAGGCAGAGTTAACTGTGTCTGTTGTATCCTTTATCTCAAGTTCGATCGGATAGATGCGTTCAACATAGTCACCAAATTTTGAATTATTTAGTAAGAGAACATCATCTATGTAGCGGAAAGTAAAGTTAAAAGATATTGCTAACTTATTTTCTTTCTTCCTAAGAAGTTCCTGTATGAAGTCAGCCTCATATGAATAAAGAAACAGGTCGGCAAGAAGAGGGGCACAGTGGGTTCCCATAGAAATGCCGATTGTTTGTTGAAAAACACGTCCTCCAAACGTATCAAATATGTTTTCAATAAAGAAATCAAGCATTTTTATAATGTCAGTTTCAGAGAATTTTTTGTTAGAATCAGAGTGAATTTTTACAAAGTAGGATTTATCCCTCCCTAAAACAAGATATTTGTATGTACATTGGTCATTCTTTTTAATGAAACAAACTCTTTCAATTTGTCTATTAGTTTGGAATGGGGAATACTTGTGTAAAGTGTAAAGTGTAGAAAAGTCAAATGTTTTAATACTATTGCAAGATGAAAGAGTCTTAGATTGCATGTACTCTAAAAGATCTTTGGAATTATTTGTATCCACATCTGATTCACGCCACCTCTAGAATATGTAGTTTCACAATAACTTTTAAGCCCGGCTTTTATTGCTGATAAAATTGATGTTAATAATTTAGAAAGAGGTTTCGTGGTACACTTTAAGGTTATTAATGTCTATAAAGAGTCCACTAACGCCTTTTGTGATTCAACTTATTTGTAGTTCTTTTCTTGCTGTTCACCTTTGCTTTTTAAATTTCTATTTTTCAATAATCATTTTTAGAATAATTAGCAAACACGACAAAAGGGTGAATTCGTCATTAAAAGGCATTTACTGTAATTTTGACCAGGTTAGTTTAAGATTGATTGATTGATTGATAGGTGTTTAACGCCACTTAAAACGATATTGACCTATTTCGTGGACCTCAGTTTTTATTGATGGAGGGAGCCAGAGTGCCAGTAAAGAATTACCGACTTTCGGTAGGAAAACTGACAATCTTAGTCAATTCATATTGGAGTTGAGCGCACCTGTCACGTGCGGGATTCGAACTCACAACCTCGATGTTGACAAGCTTGTGATACAGAAGTTCGACTACTTAGAATACTGAGGCCCCGTTAGCTAGACAATCCTGGCAGTACCAATGCATTGACCACTGGTCCAAAACCGCATAATGAAGTTTGAACTTAATTTTATTGAATTCTAAATTCATAAACGTAGATTTTAAAAACAAAAGTACTTGAGCACTTAAAGAACTATTTGAAGGAAAGTTAACTTAAAAAGATAGCCAATTAAAACCACCTTGGTCAACTTAACTGAGGCAACGATATTAGGCTACAGCTGCTAAAGGTTTGTCTGCATTAGCCGTGTATGCCAATAGTTTTACTTTATATTGAAAAAAAGATCAGTTGGAGAACCTCAATATGATTTTGTTTTCATTAATTCATAATGAATATTGCTGTTATAAATAATCAGATATATGTACATATGTCAGAAATAAGCAGTGTTGCTTCGTCTGAATAGATTAGATACACAATATTTGGGCAAAATAAGAACATAATATATTAAAGTGTTTTACTAAGAACACAATTTAACATACAGTTTTGTTGTATTTGAAAAAAAAATTGTTTTCAATGATTTATTTTAAAATATGCGAACGGTAGTTGAAACTTTTAAAAATCGTTTTATGATATGGTAACTGAATGATAAGGTGAATGTCAAGTAACTGTAAATACTTTATAATTCACACACAACGTTTATGCGGACAACAATACGCGCGTTTGGCGTTTGGTGTGTGTTATGCTTGGTCTATCAAAATATCGGTATAGGCTAACATGTAGAAGTGAAGGAAATACCAAACAGAGACCTTCATAAATGTTTTTTTTTCGTACAAATAACCTATTGCTCCTTCATGTACCTCCTTCTAAAGCTGGTCACATATTATATTAACCATAGTCAAAATTTACAATAACTCTACATTTATTTGAAACAAAATATTATTGAATTTTTCCAATTTCGCTTCCCTAATTGCTCCATTTTTGAACTTGCAAATCAAAAATGTAATAGTTAGAAGTTTTGTATTTGTTGAGTGCAACCATGTGTGATGACCTTGATAATGGGTGTGTCTTATGCTTAGTCTATGACAATATCGGTACATGCTAACATAACTTTGAGCATTGAACATGATTAGGCTTACTAGTCCTTGCCTTTAATACTTTATATTTTTTTTAACAAATCGTTCACGGAAAACAAAATAAAGATTGAGTTCGAAAATGACGATTTTTATACCATTCAAGAGTAATGGTCCTTAATAGTTTTCAGAATTGTCGGTTATGTTGATTTCGTTCGATAACTGGAGAAAACTTGATGCAACCCTTTCAAGATTTGATATCAAAAACAGCAATATAAGAGGTACCGGTTTTTATTTTGTTTTTATAAGTGAATGTAGGATTGTGGATTTTTAAATGCACAATTATATCATCATTTAGTGTAAAACTCTGCACTGATTTGTCGTATTGCCGGCACAAAAATGATATATTTAACAGGATAGAATATATGTAAATGTGCCAAAGAGTCTTACCCTACTGAAGATTAAGAAATCACGAATATAGTTTCTACAATATATAATATTTTTTCGTTAAAAGTAGATGCTTAAATCTCAGAAAAAATTAACAGATAATTCAAATGTATAATTTAGGGTTATTATAATAATCATATACAAATTCCTTGATTTTACAATGAAAATTGGTACAAAAATCGGTACTTATCTGTATCGTAGACAGATCCAGATCTGTTGTAGAATATGCCGTTATACCACGGCTAAGGGTTGAAAGTCAAAATTATATTCTCAGGTGACGTGTTTACTTGTATGTATAAAATAAACTTATCATAAATACCATTTAAATTGTGTACGCCAGACGCGCGTATTGTCTATACAAGACTCATCAGAGACGCTCAAATAAAATAGATTTAAAAGTACGAAGTTGCAGAGCATTGAGGACGAACAATTCCGAAAGGTTTTGAAAAATACAGCTAATTCAAAGTAATGTATTCATGTTGTAGAAAATCCTTAGTATTTCAAAGAAATTAAACTTTTGTTGGTAGTTAATTTATAATTACGATAATATCTGACTTAATAATAATTTAGATCAACACATATGTGTTATTTACTGGACGGGTGATACCTGCGGGAAGGAAACATCCACCAGCAGTGTCATCGACCCAGTGGTTGTAAATAAACTTATCATAAATACCAGGTTTGAAGTTTTTTAAGTCAAATCGCGTTTTGCTTCTTACGACTCATCAGTGTCGGTCAAATAAATAAAATAAATAGGCCAAATAAAGAACGAAGTTAAAAAGCATTCAATTTGAGATTCCAAAATTCCGAAAGGTAATGCAAAATAAAGCTAAGATAATATATTCCTTGTATAAAACAATCCTTAGTATTTCGAACAATTCAAAGTTTAGTTGACAGTTGACGTTTAATTTATGATTATGATCTTATCAATGATAATGTATGTCAACACAGAAGTGTTGTGTACGAGGCTGGTGCTACCATCGGGGAGAGATCATCCATCAGCAGTGGCATTGACCCAGTGGTTGTAAATAAACACATCAAAGATACCAGGATAAAATGCAATTCGCGCGTTTCATCTATAAAATGCTCATCAATGGGGCTCGAATCAACTGATACACACATTTTTAGAACTGTTTTTATTACCCAAGCTCAATATTCATTTTTCATAACAAAAGTTAATAATAATATAAAGATAATAAGTTGTGATACAATTTTATTTACTCATTTATTTCCATCAATGATATAATTGACTTAAAAATATTCTTCATCTGAACTTTGAAGAGCTTTTGATTGAAAAGATTTTGAGCCCGAAATATATTAGAAAAATATATATATAAATATGAGCCGTATTTATCAACTGATAATAATCTGACATACAAATCTATACTGTAAACTACAATAACCATAACTATACTTTAATAGATTCGAGAAAACATATTCTACATGTGACAATGGTATCCCATCAGATGAAAATACAGACATGGAAGATAATACAACCAACAGTTCTTGCCAGAAGTAAGTATTGTATTAAATAGCAGCAAACAACTATCGATACGAAATAATTCATACTAAAAAGCTCATAATTCCATGTATGTTCTTCCCTTCTACAAACTCTTAGTCATATCCAATACAGTACATTATTTTACACCTATGCACAATATTTTCTGCGAAACTATGTAATTGTTAGAAAAGAAATTAACAGCTACATGCTGACTTCAAATGAAATATTTGGTAAAAATTACAAGATTAGTTTCCAGGAAACACACTCAGTAACTGAAGAGACGCACCAACTCCAATAACTTCTTTTAAGTCAAAATTTGTATTGCAAATAACTTTTTGAAAAGTATTTGAAATGATTCTATAAAGAAACGTCACTGGCGTCATCTAAACTAAATCATGTGCAAATGTTCATTAGACTAAAGTGTAATTTTCGACATTTCCAAAAAAGAAATGTTTAACACAAACGAAAAAAGTATGTCGCCTGTTTTTTTTTTTTTTTTTTTATATTTTGAGAACTAAAGTCGGTTGTATCTTGTCGCATGAAACCATGAACATGACATTGCAGTTTGTTTCTTAATCAAGTTCTTATATAATGATCAATTTTAAATTGACGTTGTCGCCACTAAATGATAATTTATCTGTAAAATCTGCAGTAATGTCAAGGTTGTGTTTTGAATATAACAGATATCTACAAATTTGTAGCAAAAACAAGAAATTGCAAAATTACTATATATGGTATGATGTAGTGCGTTATTTTCATTGTTAAGTGTATCTAATTAGAAAACGTAGACTTAACATTAAATTTCTTACTTTTTGTAAATTGTACAGTTATTTTTTTGAAGGTAAAGAAATTTTATGGAACTATATAGATGATCCGGTTGATTTTACTTCTATGTGTGCAATAATATGACTTTTAATTTCGAAACAATTACAATAACTGTGCATATGGACGATTTTCTTTCGATAGCTGGAAATGCTGCATGAAACCGTAGACATTGAAACGAAAGTCTTGAATTTTAACCACGAAGGCTGCTTCATTTTAACCTATGATTTTAATTCACTGGTTGAATTTGTATTTGTTAGAATTATTTAATTAATATTTTTATATCATGTTGCCTCAATATCAAATCAATAAGCAGTGATAAAAGTATGATTATAAGAACATAAAAAAGATAGACAATAAGGTGAAAGACATATAAAAAAATAGTTTTACAACAATTCTAAATTAGCTAACCTCGCAAGAAAACAAATTTAGAAAAAAGTAAATCAAGACGCCATCACGAGTTGGTTTATGGAATATGTAATGTCACAGATGACGACGTATATGTTCCAATTGTCGCGTACCACAACCCCGTTCTTTTGTCCTCAAATGTGATCTACCAATATTAGACTTATCAACAGGTTTGTACTAACTTGCATGAGTAATACTACTGATGCAACATGTTGACAGAATACGCTCACCATAACTGAGCACCTGAGATTACATCCTGTTTTGGTAGGATTTGCATTGTTCAGTTTTAGTTTTGATGTTGTGTTTTGTTGACTGCTATTTGCCTGTTTCGTTTTTCGTTTCTTTCCGTTGCATTGCAAGCTGGTTTTCGACTTTTAAATTTAACTTTCCCTTTGATATCTTCCTCCTCTTTCCTGAGACAGATAAACACGAAACAAATAGAATTGTAACTTAAAAATATGATGGTTAGGTCGGGGTTTGTTTTCAGCCATGTTTTGATTTTTTTTCAAAATTGCCGGATTCTTACAGAGACTGGTACTTTAAACAAAAAAAAAGTGTTTTATTTGTCATAGATATAAGAAGATGTAGTATGAGTGCCAATGAGACAACTCTCCATCCAAGTCACAAGTTGTAAAAGTAACCATTATAGGTCAAAGTACGGCCTTCAACACGGAGTCTAGGCTCACACCAAGCAGCAAGCTATAAAGGGCCCCAAAAATGACAAGTGTAAAACCATTCAAACAGGAATATCAACGATTTAATCTATATAAAAAACGAGAAACTTCTTTCCAAACGACAGAATTACGAACCGTTGATTGTAAAAATGACAAGACCGTGACCAAAACAAACAAATAAATTAACTGTTATCATAACATTTTATAAGGAACTAAGGCTTTGAGACCATGAACCCCACAACGGAGCAAACATTGGATCTGCGAAAAGTTTGCAGATCCTTCAGAACATGTGGCCTTATTTTAATGTCCGATTACATTTGATGACAAAACAATCCATAATTACTGAAGAATATCATTTTAAGAGAAATGGGAGAGAAAATCGTTTTTAAACATGTTAAAATCATTTATTCACCAAAATTTGATTTTTTGACAGAGATGATATTAATAAGATGATGTTACGGTGTTTCATCACTTGATATGTCCTCAATTAGAATATTCTTATACTTTGCCAAAATGTAGATATTACTTTTTTTCAAATATGAATTAAAATAAAAGTCCTCGTGCTATTTTTCAAGCGACATGTTTTTCAAAATTGCCAAATTTGGCATTGATTATTAATGAAAATACACTTTTTTGTAAATGGAAAGAAATCTATGAGATAGAATTTTGAAGTAAAAATTGGAAGGTCCGTTTTGCAATGTGCTTTATTATGTTTAGAAATTAAAAAAGAAAAATGGCGTTACCGAGCTTGTATTATTGCTACAAGCAGAAAATCAAAATTTCATTATAATTCCTTTATACAATTTCTGTTGTTAGAGTTATCAACCCTTATGTGACTAAGTTGAAATTTTAAATCGAAAAAAAAACAAATATTTGGTAATCATGGTAATTGTTAACACAGTCTAAATAATGCAATGAAACACCTAATTTTTTTATTTATTTTAATTTTATTAAACAGTTTAACATATACATTTTCATTCTGTCTCAAAATTTGAAGATTTATGAAAAGAACTAGACGGATTGTGTTTTGTTTTTAGTACAATTCAAGATGGCGGTATACTGTTAGGGTAACTTAATATTTCAGATACTATGATGACGCATTAACGGAGAGCCGATCAACGACAACTTGTCATAACAGAATGAATAAAACCACGTGAGACTTTGTTATAAAATATTATAAATCTACATTAGACTAATAAGATTATATATCTTAGGCTTATTTGTGTAGCTGCATTTCTGGCTGAACCCCGCATCTCATTTTATTCTTGTTTATATTTTAAACTATTTAGGACATTTTATGATTGCCTTTGTATTGTAGATAAAAAGGTTGTATAATGAACTTCTGATGTTAAAACAACTTGTAATCGGTATAGCATATGTCAGTTGGACAACATTCATTTGTAAATAAATTTTGTTCGGAAAACTATCTAGTGTGTAGTTTATCATGAAAGTTATCTTATGTCCCTCTACAGCATCAACAATAAGACACAAAAGGCTTCAGCAAAAAAAATGTTGAAAAAAACCCAGAAAATCAAACTCCAGTTATAAGCTGAAACAATACATGCAATAATCAAACAAATAATTAAGAAGGCAGATACCTACAAACATAACTAGTGACATGCAAAGACAGACACAAGATGAATGACGTGAGTGTGTAGGGTGGACGAACAAGTTTGCACACTATTTACCTTTCCACAAATCTGGACATACAATGATTGAACAGAGATGTAACAGTACAACATAAGACCAATCATTTAAAACCAATTATAAAAGGCTGATTCATCATATCGGCATGAAGCACAACTACAATTTACACAAAGACCTTGCTTGAATTCGTTTGCTCCTATATGTTGTAATCAGATACAACCCATATTTGATGGGTTTATTATACCCAAAAAAAAAACAAAAAAACAACTATAAGCATTTTTCTAATGTAATGAATATTTCGCCCTCTACAATCTGTGATCTAGAAAGGCATTGGTAACCATGGCGACGAACCCGGTTCCTTTCCATTTGCATTTCAACATTTACATCAGCTTTTGTTTGTTACCTTGATCAGTCTTCCTAATCTATATAGATGCTAATGATACACTAAAAGCGTAGGGAAAGAATCATCATTTCATTTGTTTAACTGCTTATATAAAGAAGTATAACATGTAGAGTTCATGTTCAATTTATCCAGCAGTTACTCTGTCATTGGTACCAAGCTAAGTCGTGTTATTCAATTGCTTGAAAAGCTAAGTAACTGTAAGGTTTACCACTTGTTCATATATTTCTAAGATTGTTGTATGTTTAAAAGAACTTTTATGATAGTGTGTGCACAATAGCACAAAACTAACCTCGTTTTTGTTTAAATTATTAATAACCATTGATTGCTCACAAAAAACATACAAAGCGTTCGATCACGAAATAAAAACTTTCCGACTTTAACATTAACGCAACAACCATTTCTTTTCAGAAATGTGTTTAATGTGAATATAGTGAGCAGCAAGGTATCATTTAATGAAAACACAGAAGAACAATTATCAAGCTTGAATGGTAGTAATGGTCAGTACCCAGCAATTGACGAGGGACCATTACTTTGAATAAGTCATCCACAAGTATATTGCATTTTAGACTTTTAACATTTCTTCTAAATAGACAATATATTTGTTTATAGTTGTTCTGGTTTGTTTGTTTGTTTGTTTTGTTGTTTGTTTTTTTATTGGGAAAAGGGGGGATTAAATCAAAATTTGTTTGTATTGTCTTATCACATTGTTTTTTGTTTTTAAAATACATTTGTAGAACTAACTGAGGTATATTTAAAACAAACAATTAAACCAAAGCTATCACAATTAAAGAAAAGTAGGTACTTACAATGAGACGAGAAACTTTTGTTTACTAATTAGTCAATAAGACATGCAGTCAAGGTTATTGAAGATTGTCACATGGTGATTATCTGCAAAGGATCAACGAAAAAAAACTGACGAATAGTTTTCAATTTTTATTGCAAACCTTAATTTTATTCATTCTAAGTTTAAAGATGCCAACTATAGAACATGTGCATTTGCAGCGATATTGTACATTACAAAATTACATGTGCTATCCTATTTAATAAAACTTTCTTTTGTGTCATCTGCGGCATTGTAGTCATTATCATTTTTAACTTTTATAAAGTAATGCGTCTGTAATAATACTGATGAAAAGTACATTGATTTGCAATCTGATATGCAAAGTGATGTTAATGCCCTTGTCTAAAGCTTTGGAACAATTATTTTCATTTTCTAGAAATATTTTAGTTTACACAAGGAACCTACTGTTAGGACGATATATTTAGAACAATATATTCACTTCAGATTTCTTCAATAAGGCAAGATGACATGTTCAACTTATGATAATTTATTTCTAAACAAGCTGAAAAGTTGATCTTATATTTTATCATTTTTTGTTAGATTTCCGCTATGATTTTGCTTCAAAACTTTATATCGTTGTCAATATAATGGAATTAATGCGACTGTCATACAAGTGAGAGGTTTATCTAGCTATAAAACCAGGTTTAATCCACCCTTTTTCTACATAAGAAAATTAAGGAATATGACAGTTGTTATCCATTCGTTTGATGTGTTTGAGCTTTTGATTTTGCCATTTCATTAGGAACTTTACGTTTAGAATTTTACTCTTTGTATCAAAAAGTTAAATCATAAAAATACTGAACTCCGAGGAAAATTAAAAACGGAAATTCTATAATCAAATGGCAAAATCAAACGCACAAACACATCAAACGAATGGACAACAACTGTCATATTCCTGACTTGGTACAGGCATTTTCTTATGTAGAAAATGGTGGACTGAACCTGGATTTATAGCGCTAAACCTCTCACTTGTATGACAGTCGCATCAAATTCCATTATATTGACAACGATGCGTGAATAAAACAAACAGACATAAAGACATAAAAGGTAAAAATGTCAAAATAGGAGTACAGCAGTCAACACCGTGTCACAATCTTAATCACAACAAAAACAAACAAATATTTAACAAAGAAGCACAAACAAGCATATATCACATTTAACAACCTCGTTCATTGCTTACTTATTTTTGTATTTTATTTATGTTTGCCAAATCAACCTATAAAGGATCGAGGGATTTTAAGCACTGGGACCGAATCAAAATTTTAAGATAAACTCTGGCGTAGAATCGCGTGTTTGACGTCAGAATGTAAACGTCACACAGGTAGAGATATAAAATAATTTTGTCGTTCAAAGTATGCAAAAATTAGAAAAGAACAATAACACAATGGCGGGATGCTTAAAGTACAGAGACACGTCATATGTATCAAAGAAACATATAAAGTCACACGGACAAAGCACATAAGTAAAAATGACCGGATGCATAAGTATAGATTTGATTTTGATTTTTGGTGTTTTAACGCCACTTTTAAGCACCGCTTTTGGGCTATTTCGTGGCGGCCAGTTTTTTTTTGGTGGAGGAAACCACCGACCTTCGATAGGAAAACTGACAATCCTAGTCAATTAAGATTGGAGTCGAGTGCACCCGCACGAGCGGGGTTCGAACTCACAACCTCAGTGTTGACTGGCAAATGATTACAGTAGTAACTACTTAGTCCACTCGGCCAACGAGGCCTCTGCATAAGTATAGAGCCACGTCAAATGTATATCACTAAAAACAGACCAAACAGGAAAAATAATATGAATAAAGACAAATAAAAGAACACTTACCCCATATTCTGATGTATTTCAATAGGGGTATTCGGTTGGGGTCTTAAAATGATGTACATTTTATGGCTGGGTCGACTTGTGCATGTTTGCAGTAACGAATCAGGTAAAAGAATTATTTTCATTACAATGAATTGTGTATTGTTCCTTAAATACCGTTTACTAATTTCAAGACTTTATTTGAAACCAACATAACGTTGTCGTGATGAAGTTTGAAACATGACTAAACTATTCCATGCACTGAAACTTTGGACAAATTCCATTCGGGTTCTGTACAAATTTTAATTGTGCAATTTTGTTAGTGCTGTGTTGGAAGTATAACAACCTATCTAAACATTTAGGTCCTTTGAACTTTGTTATAAATCAGATTTTCATACGACATTATTCTGTAGCATATCAGTGTTTATGTTCTTGAGTTATATCCCTTGTGTCAGCATTTGGTCTTCAAGTTTTCCGTACTTAATTCAAAACTTCAAGAAATGAGAAGATGCCTCAGTTTTGGCTCTGGTCACTTATATTTATATATAAAAAATAATCTTACCAAAAGGCAAATGTTGCTAAAATATTTCCAGTCAAAGATATTGATGTACATGTAGGTATGATATCTTTTAGGGATAAGGCCTTTGTTTGTATCAAAATGATGTGTAAAGTGGTCACTTTCTATCAAATATGTATGTTTCGTCATCTTTAAAACATCATTGTTGTATCACATGTTATGACAATTTAGCACTGCTAATCCTTGACAATACCATCATATTCATTTATCAATGAGATTAACATAATTAACATTATTTATAGTTTTGACGATACCTCCTCTTATTGGGGATCCAATGTACAAATCTCACAATTAAAGAACATATAAGATAAAAGAACGTTTCTATGTATAATTTATTGAGTTTTGCATTTAGCTGACTTCTAATGCTCTTATATATATATTTGTTATTATTCCATCAATAATGAACGTATCTTTAACTTTCCCATAATGAGTGCCTGTCAAGGGACATGAAACAAGGTGACATATATTTTCTGGAACGTGTTACAGATTGGTGAAGTCCTAACCTGTACAACAAGTTAACTTGCTAACCAGACATTTTGACTGTGCAGAGTTAACTTTTATAAGTATACTTCGAAACCAGTCCTGCAATAAGTTTACTTTAATTTTAACAACTCCGATCGAACCAGACCTGATCTCAAGTTAACGTTTGGCTTGTCTGCTCACCACTAAGTTACCGTGTAACCAGGACCGCTCTGCATCGATTTATAAAATATCTTTAAATGTCTTTGTTTCTTGGTATAAATACATGTGTAAATAAAATATGCATCAAACTCTGCTTGTTATACAAATTTCTCCGTGATCTGCCTTTTTTATAAATTAAAAACGATATTGGTTACACTGCTTACGTGCATTGAATATATATTTCAATAAATATCAAATTCTTTACGTCGTATATACATGTATTCTGTATAAAATGTTAACGTTCAGATCTGTTTTAAAATATAGCATTTTTAATCTTAAAATCGATAAAGGAAAGCAATATGTGTGTACAATTACCAATATATATCATGTTTATTCTCAGCTATAATTTAGAGTGTATAGATATAAGAAGATGTGGTATGAGTGCCAATGAGACAACTCTTCATCCAAGTCAAAATTTATAAAAGTAAACCATACACATTACTACTGTTTCTTTTTCTGCTTCAATTAACAATGCCATCATTTTATTCAAATAATTGATTCATCGCAAATATCAGCAGTTTTCACATCTCCGACTGGCTCGTTAAACAATATTATTTGACCGCAGCAACAAAAAATGACCACTTTATTATGTAAATGTATATAGCCGCATGATAAATCAGTAATTTATTTTTTTATGTCAGGATGGGTTGTATGATACAAATGACACTAATATTGGTACACAGTGACTACAAAATTTTGTCAGCATCAATTTAGAGTCCCATCATGTTCTCTTTTACTTGAAGAACTGGATCTTCCATCAATGTATTGGATTCCTAAACTACACAAGTGTCCTTACAAACAACGGTATATTGCTGTATCTTCAGAATGCTCCACGAAACCTCTTTCGTAATTATTAACATCAATGTTATCAACAGTCAAATAGTGGCTTCAAAGTTATTGTAAAACTACATATTCTAGAGGTGGCGTGAATCAGATGTTGATACTAAAAAAATTAAAAGATCTTTTAGAGTACATATAATCTAAGTCTCTTTCATCTTGCAATAGTATTAAGAGCAATTCTCTGTAACCACCAACCGTTTCATATAGGGAGGTCGGCACGCATAGACACTAATTTTCCTGAAACTTAGCCGAAATATGTAATCAAGTAACAAAGTAAGAACAATGCCCACCAAATGTTTCTAGGCAACGGTTGCCACGGCAACCAAGTAAATGAGTTTTCCCGTACATTTTGAGGAATTTAGCATTCGGATTCAAAACCAGATTTTGTTTAATGATATTTGATAATATTTTTTAGAAACAAACATGATACTTAACAAACAAAACAGTCATTTCATATATAAAAACATATTTTTGCTTAATATTGTCACAACCGCAGAAGCCGAAGTCATTTTTCATAATATTTGAGTAGACAAATTATACATATTTTGCATGAACAAAATATACATTTTTGCATCCAACTCCATTTAAGCTGTGGTTATAAATAAAAAGTACCAATGTTTCTTGTCAATTAACTATAACAAAATGTTTAGGATATTGGGTTCTAGGATGGTTGCTATGGAAACAAAAATGTGTCATTTTTGCCTTTTTACCTCTGAAATTTGACCATGTTATTAAGATAATCAACAAAAAGTAATAACTAATGATGTGCAAACTATTGGCAATTAAATTACCATAAATTTGACCCCAGGTCAAAGGTCATTGATGACCTTGACCTTTGACCTTGTGAATAATAATTGAATTTTGAAATGAAAGATAACAGAAAGTAGCATACCATACTTGGGGAAAATGTACAGGACGTTTAAAGCCACTATGTTATTAACATATAAACAGTAGGAAGTCAAGGTTATGTCAAAAGTGCTTAGCAACCATCCTTATTTGATAAAAAAGGAACCTAGTAACACTATATGATTTGATTCAGGACTATATAAACTATTACATAGACTTACCTAAAAGGTCAAGGGGGATGTCATCACATAAGTTTTAAACAATCATTCATTTAAAGTGGAAAAGTACCTAGCAACAATTTATTTATATTGCAAAAGTGCCTAGCAACCATCTATTAATATTTGAAAAGTGCATAGCAACCATTTATTTATTTGGAAAACTGCCTAGCAACACTATTTTTTCGGTTTCATTT